CATCGACTCCAGGTCCAACTCGATAGGCTGGTGTCTGCGCTTCCCTATGGCGGCCATCGCAGCGTCTGGCAGAGTGGGGCCGGTCAAATCGATGTCGACTCGGAGGGGTCAGTGCTCGACGACGACGCTGACGCCGATGCGAGAGCCGCGATGAAATCCGGGGGGATATTCATTGGGACATAGGACCTCGCCGACCGCGGCGCAAGCGTCACAGGCGACGCCATGCTCGATGAGAACAGCGAAGCTTCCTCGGGACTTATCCTCAGTGAGTTGGCCGACAGATCCAGCTTCAACGGGAGTTCGGCCGTTGCAGCGACGAAATAGAGATAACGAGGGTCGACGGCTGACCGCAGATCCAGGGGGCGGCGGAGACTGGTTGGGGTCCGGAGGGTGTGTGGCGAGCCGTCCGGATTGGCCATGGTGACGTCTATGGTGGAGCTGGGCGCGCATAGTCCCGGGCGATTGCGAGGCAGGAGCGACAGCATGCGCCATTGCTTCGGCCTGAGCAGCGGGTCTTCAGCTTCCTTCACGCGCCGTTCCTCGGAGCCAGATCACGTTGCAGCACAGTGATGGCGCGCAGAAGACGCGCTTCGATGGTGTCGCATAGCTGATCGTAGATCTCCGTCTCGCGACCCAACGCTGCCGTGAGCGACCCAGGCGCCGTATCAGCGTAGCCTCTATACCACTGTGCCGGATGAAGTCTAAGACGCGACCGATTCAGAACACACTACGCACAGTTTCCTTGTTTCAGCGTGAAACGCGTACAGCTGTCCTGTCTTCAACGCGACGTTCTTGAGAGAGTTGTTCAGTGCAGTGATTTCGGGGACGAGGATGCCCAGTGGTGGTGGGTTGGGCGGTGGTGGCATCGCCCTGGAGTCTTCTTCAAGCTTCGTAATATTCATAGCCGGTGCAGATGGTTGAGATGTCGAAGGTCTTGGTCCAACAGGCCTCGTGTTTGGGCGGCATGGACGATCAAAGCAGAGAGCAGCTTATGTGCCGTAATGAGTCTGACGCCCACGTCAACAAGATGATCGATCACAAGATTTTAATTACTTGCTCCTCGAAACTCACCATGAACATTCGGCCAGCTCGGATGGAAGATCTGCAGGGGATGCAGGCCTGCAATCTTAAGAATCTTCCCGAGAACTACACTATCCGATATTGTCGGTGATATCTCCCGAGAAATTTCACAATCCAGGCTTATGCACACTTTATCTTGAAGACCTCTACCACGCCCTCTCTTGGCCCTCTCTATCTTATGTGGCCGAGGTTGGTGCATATCTGACATCTCTATGGCTGAACACCAAGTTCTTCTGGCCTCTAGGACCACAAGGGCCGCATCGTTGGCTACATCCTCGCAAAAATGTGAAGAAACCAGTCCGGCGTTCTCGTCAACGCGTTCTTGAGCTGAAAATTGGATTCAGGGACGAAGAGGACGATAAGGAACCACACGGACATGTGACGAGCATATCCATTCTCCGCAGCTACCGCCGAATGGGAATCGCTAAAAGACTCATGGTGCAATCGCGTGCGCACAGTCTTGTTCGCGTCTGCGTGCCAGTTACTGACACCCCATCTAGAGGAGGGTATGCCACCCTCACGTATCTCGGCCGGACCTCACCATTTGCAGCGATGTCGACCATTTACCGTGCGTCATATGTATCGTTGCACGTCCGCAAATCGAACCGTGCGGCTCTGGGCCTGTATCGAGACACGTTAGGTTTCACGGTCGAAGACATCGAAAAGAAATACTGTGTGTCGCCCGTCGCCTTCAGTTCCTTCTGACATTAAGGACTGAGCCAGATGCGGACGGGGAAGACGCATATGCGATGAAATTATATTTCCAGAGCTAACACAACAGCAAAAGCACAATAAACATATATATAATCTTATCCAACAACGAAGACGTCAAAGATGTGAGGTGCCGGCGTCGTGTTCTTCGTCAGTGCGTCTTTGATCAAGTTCGCCGTCTGCAAGCCCAGATCGTAGTACCCGTCGTTAGTCTGCGCTGAGAACATCCCCGTGTGGGCCTGGATTTCATCTGCTGCCAGACCGTTCCGAGCCAAGATGAAGAAGCCCGATCTGGATGCACTCTTTCTGGCAGAACGATGAATGTGCGTTCCGTGGTGCTCAGCATCGGTGTAGGAGAAGGAAGGTGTAGAAACTGGATGCCGCTCAGCATGAGAACCCGCTCGAGCAGATTAACTCACTTGCGGAAGAGCACACTCTCTTGGGCTTGCAAGTTGGTCAGGAAATCCACCCGCTTATCGAGAGCATCACTGTCCCAGAGATTTCCGACGTATTTCATGTGATCGGTCGCCCAGGAGTATCCGAGCCCGATGTCTTCGCGGTGATAATACGTAGTCCCTGCGGCTGCCCCAGCCAGGAGAGCGCCACCAACTGCGTAGGCTGCGGGCGCAGCCCACTTGGCCCATGGGCTTGATGTTGCCGTGTTCGGTGCAGCAGGTGCACTGCCAACAGCTTTACTTGCGCCCAGGCCAGCGAACGCACCGAAGAGACTCGTTCCCACATTGCGTGCCGTGTCAGCGAATTGCAGAGCCTTGGTTGCGCTGCTCTTGAAGACATCCGGGTTCAGGCCGAGGTACTAGATACTAATCAGGGATGGTGCGGGAGCAGAGGGTGCACCTTCGCGTACTGGAGTGTCAAAAGCGATGCAAGCGATAATCTTCGGCCAAAGAGGTGCTTTGTTATCTGGCCTGCTGTTTAGAAACTCTTTCAGAGTGTCCGCTGCAAGAAGTCCTCCCATGCTGGTAGACATGTGAGAGGCGTCAAGCGGATGGCGCGAAGTCGGCGCACCTGTGCCCGCATAGCACAATCTTGGCAGACCCAGCACCACCGCCAGACGCGACTTCTTTCTCCACAGTGAGGTTTGTTAACCAATCCGCGAACTTGACGACAGCCTCGTTCTAGTCGTCCAGAGCTGAGAATGGGCCAGACAGGAGGAGTTCAATGGGACTGACAAGATCGCCTTTGGTCTGGGTTGAGACTGAGCGCTTTGTACAAGCAGTGGCACCAAACCACATATCGCACCTCGTACGCAGGGAACACAACACATTGAACCTAGTACAATTGGATTGGTCGGCTCAAGCAGTATTTATGTCACACATACATCGAGGTTCCCAACGGTCTCGGTCAATACGTGTTGCAGCCGCTCAGGAAAGTCCCGAAAGGTTTGATCAGTTCCCTTGAAGCCATGGATGAATACAAGCAGCAAGAGCTCTCGCATCGGTAGTGCAACATCTAGAGATGTCATGGTTCTAAAGCAAAGAATAGCTGGGCACTAATCAGGTTGCCGCTTGATCGGTCCGTACAACCACCATTCCACTTTCGTCCACTCTCACACGCACAATTCGTGGTGCATAAGCAGCTGGAGCCGGGATGTCTGCGGGCGCTGAAACCTCTACACATCCTCAAGTACGCTTGTATCTGGTGTCTCCAAAGCCATCGTCTAACGCATTACCCTTCTACAGCGCCGAGTCCGCCATTTGACATCAATCCAAGTCCGCAACCTCACCGCATTTCCCGTCCGTGATGCATTTGCATCTGCCCTCTCCCAACCCGCGGACAAGAATGGGACTGGGCCCTCGGGATATGTCGCAGACGATCTAGATGTCACGTTGGCACGCAGGCGAACTCGGCGGATCTCAATGAACTCTATCGGGACTGTCAAGTCGGATGAAAGTGGCGGAGACGAGGGGAGCATCAGTGAATCGAGGGGGAGGAGGTCAGCAGGATCCAGGATGAGTTTTCATGGGGGAGGGAGCGTAGGGCCGAGTAGTGTGGGGTCGCGATTACACAACGCAGCGTCGGCCGCACCGACGATCCGCGGGCACCGGCCCCGAACAACGTCGATGACCTCCTCATTGCATTCATTTGGTGTTTCAAATTCTGGCGGAAGCTCGGCCTTTCCCAGAGCGCTTCCGGACCACTCGCAGATTGGGCTAGAGAAGATATTGAAGGCGCGACTATTCGAGACATTCATTGCAGTTTCAGTCGACGTGCCTCCAGAGCCCGAAGCCGCTGACCCTGTATCGGTCCCGTTACCCCAATCCACACCTGCTTCGCCCTTGCTCCCCAGCACCGCGCCGACTTCCCCTCGTAGCCCCAACACTCCGAACACCTTCCCTCGCAAGGGTACAAAGCCGTCTCCCCTAATTCCTTCGGACAAGCCGTCATCAAACGGCAATGCCCGTCGGGATACATCTACCCCAGCTTCTCCCGTTTCCCCGAACCGACACTCCAAATCCGCATCCGTCTCCGTCCTTCGACCCAATGGCAAAGCTGCTGCTGCTGCCGGTGGGCTTTCTGCGCGCAAAACTCTCCCATCCCAAGCCCCTGCGCCCCCGGCTCGTGTCAAGACACCAGAGCCAGCCTCACCCGACTTCATATCCCCTGTGCACCGGCCCTCGACCAATCCATTGTTCAATGTTGATGCGAAATCGTGGACCTCGCCCAGTGGGCAGAAACTCAAGGTCGAGCTCTGGGGCAAAGTCAAGGAGGACTGGAAGCGCAATGATTCTGTGTCGGTGAAAGGGAAAGAAAGGCAATGGCAGGAGCAGGACGAGGAAGATCACTGGAGAGTTTTGGAGCAGTGGGCCGTGGATCTGGAGCAGCTCGTCCCCATTTCCGACGATGTACGTATCCTTTTCGCATCCCCTGAGCTTAGGATTGACGAACTTACAGACGGAGATTCCATCCAATACCCTTGTCATAAATCTGCTGCCTCCGGGTCGATCCTTCTATCTGCCGTCTAATCTCCAGCGAGAGCGTTTACACGCCAAGTCTTCCTCCGTCGACGCTGGGTATGCATCTGACCCCGAATCCGCTGCGAGGAAAAGTACCGAACTCGCGCCTGATACGACACCGGAAAGCCTCGCGGTCGACGTGAAAGCCTTGAGCAGACGACGACTGAGGCGCGGGAACGAAGATCAGGCCTTGGCCAAGACCGCCAACTGGCAGGATCTATTCAAGTGAGTTCGGACGGCGGATATGTCAGGCTAGTGCTGACAGCCCGTCAGACTGGTGACATTGCAAGCTTGCATCGTAGACAATGAGACTTCTTCGAACGATGTCATCCGCGAAACAGACAAGATTCTGGAATCTGATCAGCTATGGGTCCTTGTAGGTCCATTGAACATCTGATGGATAGGGCTGATATGAGCTCCAGAAACGACAAATATCTGAACGCGAGTCAATTGTTCAGGGGATGAGGAAAAGCTGTGCTGCGGTCTATGATGAATCTGAAATTTGTGCGTCATCTCGAACTACTGGGAATGTGCATTGAGCATGCCAGTGAAAGAGAAGATTGAGATGCGCCGACAGCAGATCCAGGAAAGAAGGGAAATGCTTGCGATGGCGCATGAAATCACGCAAGCCGATATGTCGTTGTCTTGTGGGGAAGACGAGGAGGTCGCCGCTGCCCGGTTCGTCATTCACTACTGATTCGATGCCACGGACTCAGTTTGCACAGTTCCGAGCTCGTCACATTGCGAAGCAGATTTACCCCGACCCGTACCACGCTCATATCCACGTTGGCGAGCATCTTCCCCATCGACATTCTCTCGCCTCCTGATCTTCTCTTCACGATTCTTGGAGTGCCCCTTCCCATTCCGCTCTCCGCGTCTGACCCTGGCCCGCCTCTATCTCTGCCGTCCCACAAAGATGTCACAGAAGACGCTGTTGCGACTGCCCTGGGTTACGTTGCCCAGGTCGTGCAATTACTCGCCGCCTACCTAGGCAAAGGCCTAGTCTACCCCGTCACGTGCATAGGAAGTCGCAGCATGATCCGGGATGGCATCTCGGCTATGGTCGGTCCGCGGATGTATGTCGTGCGTCGCTTGCGGTCCATGCTCTGAGATATTTGCGGCAGGTTCCCACTCTTCTCCCGAGGCGTTGACACATATCGTTTTGAATATGGTGTCTTCCTTCTGAACAAAGATATCGAACTAGTGAGTTCGGGCCATGCGGCAGGCCGACCACTAACGACATTGGCAGCTGATGGCGGACAAGGATCTGCGGGCTCTGGATATGCGACAGACGCTACCGAACCTGAAAAATCTTCTGCTGACACTCACTGATGGCGAGGGCGCGCCCCTTGTAAAGTTCGTGACCGTCACATGTAATCTGACAAAGTTCTGAGAGCGTTGGCAGTGGGTCCAGGTCTTTCGACTCGCCAGAGCTCTCGATTACGGGACTCGAGTCTCCCAGGCCGGGATCGCCAGCCGAAGTGACAACCCCGAAGGCGGATAACTCAGAGCTTCCTCCGACCGACAGAGACACGCCACCTGCTAGTGGATCAACCACCCCGACGACAGTCGAAACGACTAAAAAAAGCCGGTTCATGGGCCTGTCGCCCATTGCAGGTTTTCTTCGAGCACGCTATCCCTCTGCTATTCGTGTCACGCGGCCGGAGTCGGAGTCGGCCGCCGAACCCGCCGAAGAGGAGTCCTCGCCGGCCGACGATGATGCAGACAGCCGCACGCTCCATGGCGCTCCTGCCCCCGACGAGCAGCCGGATCCGGGCCGAGCGTCGGAGAAGTCGGACGATGTCAGCTCTGCCGTCGCTAATCTTTCGGTTGCTCCTGTCCAGTGACACATATCTTCTGTTTCTATGCAAAGTCTCTGCGTCTATTCTTTCTCCCCGTTCAACAAATCCGCGAAGGAAGCGGCACACGGCACACGCTATCACGGGGAGCGAGGGAACATATGCCGCCCGGAAAATTCGCTTTCGATGCGAATCGGCAACCCGTTTCTTCTTTCCGTGGAATCAGTATCTCAAACGAGAAATGACGAAGACTCGTTGAGACTAGAGGCTAGAGCTTATTCGCTGTGACGACCAGAATTGATCTGCGTGATCTGATGGTGGAACTGTCGCGCGCAAGGGATGAATAAGGCAATTTGAGACATGGGGGGCACAAGAAAGTAGTCGAGGGAGAAAGCAAGACAGTGAAATAATGACCCTTGATCCCCACGCCCACGGCTAATCGAGAGAGGGGATGTTAACGAAATGTGATGTGTGAAGAGTGTGAATATGTAATTCTAGCCAAACAGAGCCCATCACAGGTGCATCGCCGCGCTAAATCGCAGGTGACGACCGTTTATTCCCTACCACTGTCTCCCGTTTCTCGTCCAGAAACCGGGACATTCAAAAGGGTCCGTCCGTGTTGTTCTCTTCTCTCTGCGTTTCCCCCGTGTCTCAACGCATCCAGCCCTCTGCCGCATTGTACCACCAGACCCAGTAGACGGGTTCAAAATCAGCTTCAAGGTGTGTTATGCTTTCATTCATACTCTTTGCCACCGTCTTACACCTGTCCAGCGTCCTTGTGCAACTAGGTTTCCTCTTTCTTCCCCCCTTCGCTTTGTTCTCTATCCTTCCTTGTCCCGGCCTACGCTCCGACACTCTTCGTCTTTCAAAATGAATCCCGCTCTCGAAAACTCTACCAATACATCTACCGATAATAGCCCTTCCGCGGACGACAGGATGCAAAGTCCTCCTGCATTCCTGGACCTCGCAGACTCTGTACGTCGCATCTCATCCACCGTGTGCACGCCATCTTATCTTCTTGGCAGGCCGGGAGGTTGGGTGTTAATATGTCCGCTGTGCGTGTTCTTCGCTCTTTCTCCCCCAACTCTTCAGTTCTCTTACGATGCCAGCAGCGCGTCGAAGCGAAGCGGCTCGAACACGAACGTCAACGTCTTATCCAGCGCAAGCTCTTCGAAGATCAGATGCGTGCCCTGGAGCACCAACAGGCTCAGGAGTTGCTGAGTTTGCCACTCGACGGCTCCGGTGTGCAGCACCTGGCGGTCTCGGCCCCGACCACTCCTCCCCGCATCAACACTGCTCTCAACGGCGCGGACGCACACGTCGGGGGCCAGCGTCGCTCGCAGCACTTTGACGCGGACACCTTGTCGAAGGCTGTCGGCACCACCGTCGCGGACAAGCGCAAGTCAGTCACCTATGCGCCGTCGGCGACTCTTTCGCCCGACTTGGCGGAGAACGTGAATGGTAACTTCGCCCGGTCCGCTGGGGCCAAGAGCATGCCAGCCAGTCGCCGCACCTCTGCCAGCGAGCATGACGAGGAGCTTGCGAGTCATCTACAGGGTCTTTCGATGGTCGGCGAAAGGACTTCCCCTGGTCCGGCTGGCATGCCGGCCTCGATCCTCAGCCGTGGGCCATCCCGCTACGGTAATGACGAGGGCGCGCGCTATGCCAGCACGTACAATGCTGGTATGATGTTGGACGAACAACTCGACCAGGAGATGCACAGTATGTTTCGCAGTTTCCTCATGCCGGACTTCCATTTATGCGGTGTCAGACGCCATGCGCAATCTTCCCACCTCGGACGACGACAAGTATGCTTCACCGTATCCGGGCAAGGTGAGTCTAGGCCGATAGGTGATGGTGCGTCGTGATTGAGTTTGCTCAGATCTCCACGTCATCTGCCGCTCTCGATCTGGCGCACATCTCGCAGACTTCGCCTCGTTCTTCTTTCGCTCCTCGCAGCGGCGAGCCTCGCGAGAAGTCATCTGAATGGCCCCAGTTCGCCGGGGGAGCGCGGGTGCCTGCGCCCGACGGGGCCCTTCGATCAGATCGTCGCACTGTGACCAATCCCAATTTGGTGCTGACATCTGGCGATCCCTCCGGCGCTAAATTGACGGTGGCGTCCGCATCAGCTACACCCTTGGTGCCTCAGCTCACCCAGCTTGGCACGCCGGTGTTGGGTCAGCTTCCTTCATCGCGTCGGGGATCTCCGCCCGGTCTGTTGGACGGCCTGGGCGCGACGACGCGTTCGGTTCCGGCGACGCCGTTGGGCATTTCGAGCAGCGCGGTGCACATTTTGAAGACCCCGGGCACACCGGGCGAGTCGCCGGCCCTCAACGGACGTCTGTCCGCGGTCGGCGAAAGCGCTGTCAACGCAAGTGATCTGCAAGCCTCGCTGTCACGCATCCCGACTTCTCAGTACGAGAATGGGTCGCTTACGTTCAACTCCATTCAATCTGGGTTGGACGATTCGCTTCAGTATGGCAACGGGATTGACTCCGTGTACGGCTTGGACAGCAGCTATGGCTCGTACGGATACGAGTCCGGACGGACCGGAGCGACGACCAACGGAACCACGGGCTCCACCGCGTTGTACCATCACAACGGCTCTCGTTATGGATTGGGGCTCGCTCCTCGCAACGGCGACAGCAAGATGAATGGGCTTCATGGACCGAAGCACAAAAGGGGTGACATGGACCGTGAATGTGAGTCGTTCTCTCCTGTCGGCGGGTACTCGGGCTGAGTGTGGGATGCCAGTCAATCGCTTCGCCGGTACCCGCTTGGAGGATCTTCAGGGAGAAATCCCCGCACTCTGCAAGGACCAACACGGCTGTCGCTACTTGCAGAAGAAGTTGGAGGAGGGCTCTGCTGAGCACCGGGACATGATATTCCGCGAAACCTACGGACACTTTGCGGACTTGATGACTGGTGCGTTTAGTGTCATCATGTCTTTTCCCCGTCGCTAAGGCTAGCGCATAGACCCTTTTGGCAACTACCTTTGCCAGAAGCTGTTGGAGTACTCGACCGACGAGCAACGTGGCGTTATCTGTGACTCGGTTGCGCAGGACCTGGTTAACATCTCATTGAACATGCACGGGACGCGTGCGGTGCAGAAGATGATCGACTTTTTGTCAAGTCGCCGCCAGACCGATTCCCGGTACAACGCACAAATCCATTCGATCATCGTCGCTCTCAGTCTGCATGTGGTGGTGCTCATCAAGGACCTCAACGGGAACCATGTCATTCAGAAGTGCTTGAACAAGCTCACGCCAGAGGATAACCAGGTGCGTCCCCCTCATTGATTTGTCTGTGCACTTTGTTGAGGACGTTCACCAGTTCATCTACAACGCTGTCGCTGCCAATTGCGTCGAAGTGGCCACCCATAGACACGGCTGCTGCGTTCTTCAACGCTGCATCGACCACGCATCGGACCAACAACGCATCCAGCTTGTGAACGAGATCACTTTCCACGCGTTGACGCTGGTGCAAGACCCGTATGGAAACTATGTATGTCTTCTTCGGCTCGGTCTGTTCTCCACTGGTCCGACTGACGGTAATCTAGGTCGTGCAATACATCTTAGATCTGAACGACAACCGGTTCAGTGACGGTGTCATTCGTCAGTTTGCGGGCAACGTGTGTGCCTTGTCGGTGCAAAAGTTCAGCTCCAACGTGATCGAGAAGGTACTATCTCCTCCCGTGTTTCATTCGCGATATTGACTGTCAATAGTGTGTGCGGGTAGCGGAGCACAGCACCCGGAAGTTGCTTATCGAGGAGCTGCTGAATCGCACTCGGCTGGAGAAGTTGTTGCGAGATTCGTATGGCAACTACTGTGTCCAGGTGCGTGGTGATGTGATTGAGATGGCGCATGTCATGCTAACTCCGAATTCTCAGACCGCTTTGGACTACGCCGAGCCCAGTCAACGGGCGCTGTTGGTTGAGGGGATCCGTCCTGTCCTTCCCTTGATTAGAAACACACCTTACGGCAAACGCATCCAGAACAAGTTGCAGCGTGAGCAAATGGAGCACTACGGTGGCGGATACCAGCACCCCCAGTCCCTGGTCGGCAATCACTTGTCGCAGGGTATCGTTCCTCCTGCGCGGCACCTGTCCTCTGGTCTGCACTCGAATGGCCTCAACGACATGTACGGCAGCCAAGGTCTCGGTGGGCAGGCTCTCTACGGCCAGACGTCGTTTGGCCAAACGCACATGGCTCCGACTCACCACGGACTGGGACAGTCTATCGATGGCTACGTTCTCCAAGGCACCTCCTCGCATCTCGGCCTCAACTCGTCTCACGGTGGGCTGTCGGCCGCTCCGTTCGGCGGCCTGAGTCCCTTTGGAAACGCCGGACTGACGAGTGCTATCGCTGATCCGTACCAGCGGTCCTTTGCCTACGGAATGTAAAACAAGACGAACGACGAACGCCGACCACTCTTTCCTCCGAACTACTCTATATCATCGACCGATACCTCGATCTACCTTAGCGCCATCTTTTTGAATTGCTGTTCTCATCGCTCTCGTATTCACACCCTCCAGCAGTGCCTTGCTCGCCTGCTCTGTATCCTTTTCGACCCTCCCCGGCATTTTTCCAGACTATATCTTCTCCGACCACCATCGCACGTTGTACAATCGCACGGTGTCTGTTTAATAGTCTCGCTCCTCATGCATTCCTGTAGTTAAATCCATCCCGCTGTATAAACTTCGTTAATTAGATTGCAACCGGATATTATATCACTATTTTCTGCCTGTGGCCTTTATATCCCAGCGTGATCTTTAGTCAGTTATCATATTGTGGTGAAGTGTCTCCAACCCTAGGATTTGAGGGAGAGGTATGGCGTCGTTAAGTTGGAATGACCAGAGACTAACTGCTGGGAGAGAAAAGAAAATGCATAGCATGCTTCATCGTATCATACTGAGTTGCATACAGGACCGCAAGTGGTGCTAGCTAGAGTCGACAGAAGAGAACCGAAACTCCCAGTTGCTGTTTACCGGTTCTATTCCCGTGTGTGAGTCCCCCCATCCAGATTGAGCCAAGGATACTTGAGCGTACCTTGACGAAACCGATGGCAGCCGACTTCTCGCGGAAGCACTGACGGCAGAGGTCGAGTCCGTACTTGCGGATGAGACCAGCCTGATGGGCGCAGAGGCGGCTGGTTGGGCGCGAGTCGGATGGATCGAGTGGGTAGGTACAATCGGAACCGGAGCGCAGATCAGAGAGGCAAGGTGAAGTGACCAGAAGAAGATGAATTGAGGAGAGGAGAGGGATTCAGTCAGCCTGCCGCTCTGCTGCATGGGACGAGCGAGACGCACCATTGACGGGCACCCTTTCCGTATTTCCTGGGGCGGGAGAACCAAACAGCGTCGTGGGTCATTTTTGAGGTGGGTGAATCAAGTCTGTGCAAGGGGCGTGGAGAGTCAGGTGGTGGGTATGGGAGGATAGGACAGCGGGCAACGGACCAAGCTCTTGAGGCTGAGGCTGATTTTGTTTTCGGACACTACGAGAGCGGGTGTGCGTGGCTGTGTGGAGATGTACAGTATCGCTGTTGCACGTGAGCGCTGATGTGGTGATTGACATTTGACAGAGAGTGATCGGTGACCGGCGCATCAGATGCGCACCGCTGTCAGCTGCCTGTTACTTCTGTTCTTTGGGTCGCGCGAATTGTACTTGGCTACTGCCTCTCCTATTGAATACTCGTTCTTTAGCACGAAGATGGCCTCCATTTGAGCGCGTGAAGCATGACTCCATGAACGAACGTTGCTCCAAATCACATGACGGCTCGGCATCATCTCAATAATAGCTTCGCACTCGAGGTTCAGTTCGGCCCACCCGGTGATTGGTACTCGACCCTCTAGTACTCTCGCAACTACCAGGGTCATGGCCGCCGAACTTGGAGATACGGGGCTCATCCTTTCCCTGCCTCCCCCGACGTCCTACGCTCTGACCGTGACGGACCTGACCATCGGCGCGCCTCCTCCGCGTGACGCCAGTTTCGCCATCGGCCCGATACCCGTTCCGCTGCCATCGTTCCTCAAGCCAACGACCGAGAAGACTGGCCACCCCGCGCGGTCGACTATCGTGCGGAATGTCTCGGGGAGCTGCAAGGCCGGCGAGATGCTGGCTATCATCGGCGGCAGTGGGTCGGGTGCGTTCCAGTCCGGTCGCCTGTCTGGCAGAGTATGAACATGTTTGATGCGCAGGCAAAACCACGCTGTTGAACGCCATTGCGGGCAGACTGCATGGGTTGCCTATCCTCGACGGCCAGATATCCTTCCGACCCGCTCGCGACGCAGCAACGGCCGGGGAGGCCAATAAGCCGAAGCTGTCTAAGATCATCGGTTTCGTGCGTCAGAACGACTACCTCCTGCCCCATCTGACTGGTGTGTGCGGCATGTGCTTCCCATACTTTGTCTACTGAGACTCGTATGTGCAGTGAGGGAGACGTTACACTTCTCGGCAGCACTGCGACTGCCGAAGACGGTTGATAAGAAGACAGTCCGGGCTATTGTCGAGCAAACGATCGAGGAGCTGGGACTCAAGGAGTGCGCCGACACAGTTGTGGGCGGGATCTTCCGCAAAGGCATCTCGGGCGGCGAACGAAGGTTGCACACTATTATTCTAATAGCTGGGCAAATAACTGAGTCTCATCGATTGCAGACGACTGTCTATCGGATGCGTGTTGGTGACGCTGCCCTCCGTGCTCATCTTGGACGAAGCGACAACGGGGCTCGACGCAACGACCTCATTCTTCCTCCTGCAGACCCTATCCGAACTCGCGAAGCGGCATTCTCGGACTATCATCCTCTCGCTCCATGCCCCGCGATCTGATGCGTTCGAGCTGTTCGATCAGATCATGGTCCTGTCGAAAGGCGACGTGGTCTACAGCGGCCCGACCAGTGACAGTCTGGGATGGTTTGAATCGCGGGGGTGCGAGCTAAAGAAAGAGACGAACCCCCTTGGTGCGTCCGATCTCGCTCCACTCGCTACCGAGATCTGACTATGCTGCAGACTTTCTTGTCGATGTCACAAGCGTGGACAATCGGTCGGCAGAGCAGGAAGACGAATCGCGGACGCGTGTGGCCGCGCTAGTCCAGGCGTGGAAAGACCGCGAAGCCAAGCCTTCTTCAGGGCCACACCCTGCGCCCCTCACCACGATGACACACACCATCTCTCGGGGTTCCGAAGTTGGTGGCATCGATGATGGCAGGTCGGGATACTCGCGTCCCGGGTCGATTCAGCAGACGCTCATTCTGTTGCGCCGTTCTCACTTGAATGTGTATCGGAACTATGGGCAGCTGGTTGGGTTTCTGATTCAGAGTATTGGTATCGGCGCCTTCATGGGTTTGACGTATTTCAATCTCCAGGGAACGCCAGGAGATATCCAGTCTCTGAAGGTAGGCCAGCTGGTGTCCGTCGATGGTGGCAAATCTGAACTTGTCAAGGGAGCGACGTTTCAGATGTACCCTGGCTACTATTACCTCACGCAAGTCTACTGGATCTACAAGTTTTGCACTGATTTTGTGATCTTTGATCGAGAACGAGAGGTGCTGTCAGTTTGAAATGTCTTCTCTTCGTGTGTTGATCGGAATCACAGGATCATCTCTATGTGCGTCTATTTCTCGGTGTGTTTGAAACCCTGTTCATGATGCGTAGGGCACATTCCCGTACATCATCGCGGAGTTCACTGCCAATCTGCTCCCGACAACGATCCCGCCTACAATCTAGTACGCGTCTGCTCGACATTGAGGATATTGACTCGACCCCTTTGCAGTGCGGTTATCTTCTATGTGCTCAGCAACATGCGGCGTGATCCGTTCGCCTCGAATTTGTTCATCGTTGTAGCCAACGCGAGTTCATTCTCTTTCGCAGTCCGACTTTCTTCACATTTGAGCACAGTGCATCTGCATGCAATGGTCGACCCAGGGCATGGCGCTGTTCTCGGCATCCATATTCGTTAGTGCCTGCATTGCACCTCAAAGCACATGATATGACCTGCTATGCAGCGAGGATTCCCCCAAGCGTCGATGGTTGCCAACGCACTTTCGCTGTTCTTCACGTGCGCGTGTTTATCTATGATCTATGCTCTTGCTGACTTGGCGATATCGCAGTCTCTCTGCCGGATTGTACGCCTATGCACTTGCTGTCCCGCGTCCTAGCTACTCACTTAATCTCTTTCTAGCTCTTTGACCAAGGTTCCCGTGTGGTTGAGATGGATCAAATGGCTGCAAGTCCTTGTGTCATGTCAATTTCTCCGCGTCTCACATCCCGACAGTTCGACGACATTCTACTCCTTCCGGGTAGTCGCTACAACCCAATTCAAAGGCCGCAAATTCGCATGCGAGGGTGTCACGGGTGTCGCATTATCGCAGTGCGACGGCGATAATGTTCTGAAGGGACTCGAGTTCTCGCTCGATACACCGCTCATCGTGTATTTTGCGGCTGAGATTGCCATCCTTGTTGGGTGGGAGGATGTTCGCTGACATACTCTGAGACAGAGCTGATCCTGAACAGGTTGCATGTCCTCGCTGGACTGGTGATGCAGTTCTACAAGCCTGGCGGCGTCAAGCATGCTTCTGCTGTTGGATCGGAATCAGACACCCGCGGCAAAGAGACGGCGTTGACAGTGCAGATGGACATGGATATCACCAGAGCCAGGATCGACGTCGAGGTGCGGAAACTGGGATTCGCCTGGGTCCGGCGTGGTGGATTGGGCATGAGACGGAGCAAGCAGAAGAGCAAAGTCATCTTGAGCGACATCAGTTCTGTCTTCCCGGCGGGAGAGATATCTGCTATCATGGTCAGTGATGATGGGTCTTTGTTCTGAGTGTGTGCTTGATACTCAGCTCGGAGCGCAGGGCCCGTCGGGTGCCGGCAAGTCAACCATTCTGCAGCTCCTGTCGAATCGGAGACTCAACGCGGGCACTGGCGCGCATTTCGAGATGACGGGCGACATCCTGTTTAATGGCCAGCCGGCGAGCAGCGAGACCCGGACGGCGGTCGCGTTTGTCGAGCAGGAAGACGACTATCATCTCGTATGTTTGTGTGTTTTGTTGTGGAGAATCTGTGCTGAATGGACCTTGAGAGCGCGCTCACTGTCCGAGAAACGTGAGTCGTGTCGGTTGACTTGGGAAAGCTCTGATACTGATTTGTCTTCAAGGCTTCGCTATGCGGCGCTTTTGCGACTTCCGGCCAAGATGAGCAGTGTGTCTCAGAAATGTTGAGAGCATGGATGTAATCTGATCAACTCATACAGGGAAACGCAAGATCGCCAGGGCAGAGGAAGTGCTGCTCATGCTGGGTCTGAAAGACTGTGCGGATGTTCTGGTTGGCGGGGAGCTGGTCAAAGGGATCTCTGGAGGAGAAAAGAGACGGCTGTCGCTTGCTGTGCAGATGATCAGCGACCCTAGTATCGTCCGTCGCTTCCTCTGCGTAATCCAGTCTTGGCAAACTCATTTTCTTACAGCTTGTTGTTGATGAGCCGACATCGGTGCGTTGCTGTTACCCTGTTTGTATTGTGCTGACATCCGCCGTTGCAGGGCTTGGACTCATTCATAGCCAATGTACGCCCGGGTGTGCTTGGAATAGCTTTCCCTTATCATATTAACAGAACGTGATGCAATGCCTCAAGTCCATCGCACTTAGCGGCCGAACGGTCATCGTCTCGATCCACCAGCCCCGATCGGACATATTCCATGCGCTCGACAATCTGCTGATCCTCGCCAAAGGCGGACACGCTGTCTTCAGTGGGAAACGCAAAGACGCGGTCGCTGTGATGCAGAGCCAGGGCTACCCGCTACCTTCGGTGTGGTTCAACCCGGCTGACCATCTGCTGGATCTGGTCACTGTCGACCAGCGGCCTGGCAAGGCGACGGAGTCGAAAGCACGGGTCGCGGCGTTGATCGAGTGGTGGGATCAGACCGCACAACAGGAGAAGGGCCAGAATGAGAAGCAGGTGACGGCCGAGTCCGAGGAAGGGGTAGTCCCAGCTGCATCTGAAAGCCGGTTCACGCCTGTTTACATCGCATTCCCGGTTGTTGCTGAGCGCATGTTCAAGAATCTGTGGCGGCAGAAGGAGGCGTTTTGGGGCCGGATCACACAGACGCCGTTGGCTGGTTTGTTACTTTTGATGTTCTATGAACGGGTAAGACGAGGATTGGCACCAAGAATACTGCCCTGACGCTTTGCTATAATAGCTGTCGTTTGGCCCCACCGGTGGTCAGGATCGGATTGGGTCAGTCCGGATTATTACGGATTATTTTCTATTGACATTCTCCAGTGTCAACTTGCAGTCGACCTCGGGTTCGTTGTCTCATTCTATTTGTGTTATGTGACAGTACCAATTACCGGATCAGCTCTTCCTTTCATTGGCCTGATCAACGGAATTGCCATCTTTCCGCAAGACCGACAGCTGTTTATGCACGAATACCGCAGCCCAGCAGCATACTCTGTGACGACCCTGATCTTGTCGTACTCGCTTATTGAGATACCCGCTCAAATCATCGCTTCGTTGGTATGTGCTCAGGTGCCCTGAATGACCCAAACGATTGTACTGATAGCGCATTTTCAGTTTTATGCTATCTTTGTAGGTACTGAGTACTAGAGATCCGAGCTTGTGCTGACCAGCGTAGATGAATGTTGCGGTGGGGATGCAAACAAGCGCGCGGATCTACTTTGAGTACGCGTTGACGATCTGGACTCTGCAGAGTCTCGGGGAGAGCATCGCCCTCATCTTCGCGTCGTTCTTCGATGCGATGGGAATCGCCGTCTCGCTGGTGTCGACTACGCTGAGTATGGTCACTCAGTTTAGCGGGATCTGTGAGTGTTCTCGGAAGGAGTGAGGAATGATTGAGGATCTGACCTTGTGGACAGTGTCGCTGGCAGTGCCGTTTTGGCTCCAAGTCGTGAGCGATCCTGCGTGCTTTGGCGGTTGTTCTCCCACTTATGATTCCTATCAGATCGCATGGGGAACGCCGTTGAAGTCATCCCAGCGAGTCCAATTCATCAACGAATGCGAGGGCCTGCAGTTCCGCTGCTCGCCCGCGGATATCACGCAGGGCATATGCACCGCTGTCTCCGGGGAACAGCTGTCAGTGCCCTATCTTCCTCTCTCTTGCGTTTCGTTTTTCGTGTCTCAACGGCTGAATGTGCTGCATGCAGGCTCGAGCTCTATGCGTTTTCGGATCGGAACACGGCCAAGTTGATGGGAATTGCGGTTGCGGTGGCCATTGCGTGGAGGGTCTTGGCTTGGCTTGCGCTGAGAGCGAGGATGGCGAGAGGTTGATTTATAGATTCATATTTTGCCGTATTTTACAGGTTTTCCGGGTGCTTTGAATGTCTCATAAAAAAGCTATCACTTGCTAACAACTGGATGGAAACATTGGAAAGAGCCAGGACCAACAATGACGTCCTCATCACGATCGGAGTATCCATCAGATGCGGGGTTCCGTTCGGCACCCCCGTCGCTTCGCGATAACACTGTATGCAGCCCGCCTGCAAGCTACATACATAAAACCTGCACGGACTGAAACAAGGCCTGCGTGATATCACTGAATCAGCGCTTTTTCTCCGCACGTTCCACTCACTCACGCGCCGCATTGTGGTCGCGCGGTTGGAGATGTACGACAAACCGAACCTTGAGTGCCAGGATGGGGAGCGACTTGGCCTGCGCGAGAAAGCTGGGATGGGGCTGGCCGGGACGGAAAGAAGACGCGGAGGAGGAGGGCGGCGGCGCGTTGTGCGCTGGGGATTCGTCACCGTCGCGGTGTGCTTGCTCGTGTCGGCGGCGATGAGCCGGGCGATGTGGTCTGTTCTGCGGGTATGTGCAGCAGATGCTCTGCGCATCTGCGTGTTCTGTGCTCAACTCACACAGCCTCAGTCGCGTCCCGCTGCGAACTATGCTCGTCCGGGACAGTCGGACCAAGCGCACGGTGCGCCGTTCAACCGCACGCCTGACGTGCAGTTCGACAAATACAGTCTGATTATCAAGGGGGAGAGGGTGTTTCTACAGTACGTGCTGCATCTCCCGTGTCGTTTGCGCGCGCGCTCACTCCATCCACCAGCTCCGCCGAACTGCACCCGTTCCGGCTGCCCGTGCCGACTCTCTGGCGCGACGTCCTGCTCAAGTTCAAGGCCGCGGGGCTCAATGCAGTGAGCATCTACACGCACATGGGGGTGCACAATCCCGCCCGCGACGTGCTCGACTTTGGCGCGCCGCTCGGCGCGGGGGAGGACGGGGGCTGGAAGAGTCTGCAGGGGTTCTTGAGCATCTGCAAGGAGGTCGGCCTGTGGGTAGTGGTCAGACCAGGACCGGTCAGTCGCGATTCACACATCTGCTGCTGCCGCTTGCGCTGCGTGCTGTTCGCTGATGCGTACATATGCAGTACATCAACGCGGAGACCTCGGCTGGGGGCATTGCGCACTGGATCACGACCGAAGTAGCCGGCCCGCTACGCACGAACGCGAGCGACTGGGAAGACGCGTGGCGGCCTTATGTCGCTGGCATCTCGGCGGAAGTGCGCGCGTGGCAGGTCGATCGCGGGGGCCCGGTCATTGGTGAGTCTGTTCGGGGGACAGTGTTTCTCGGCTTCCTTACGGTTCGGCAGCGGTGCAGATCGACAACGAGTACACGCAGACGCCCGCTGGGCACGGAGAGTACTACGAGTCGCTGATGGCTGCCTTCCGCGAGGCCGGGATCGTGGTCCCGTTGACGTACAACGATCCCAATCCGGGCGAGAACTTCATCAATGGGACCGGCGGGGTGGATCTGTATGGGTAAGTCGTCGTCTCGACCTTGGGCACGGGCCACCGGTGACGCGTCGCGGCAGGATGGACTCTTATCCTCAGCGGTTCGACTGCTCGAATCCGACCGTGTGGCGGCCCGTGGTGGAGACGTACAGGACGTACCACGAGCGGGTCAATCCGAGCCAGCCGTGGTATATCCCAGGTGCGGCGCCCTCGTCCGTCGTTCTCACGCTAAGTGTGCTCGCTGAATCTTGCCAGAATTCCAGGCAGGGTCGTTTGACGCCTGGGGTCCCTCCGCGCCGGGCTACAGTCCGGCCTGCTACGACCTGACGAACCATGAATTCATGTCGGTGTTTAATTTGCAGCTGTGGGCTTCGAACGCGAAGATGATCAACTACTATATGGGGTACGGCGGCACGAGCTGGGGCGGGTTGCCCTTCCCGGGCGTGTACACCAGCTACGATTACGGAGCTTCGGCGAGTCTGGCCACGGTCAGGTGCATGTCGGGTTGTCTAATTTTATGTGACAGCTGACGGAATCGCGCGCGCTGACGCGCAAATTCGACGAACTGAAGCTGGAGGGGATATTCATCCGGTCGACGCCCGACTTTGCCAAGACGGACTGGATCGCGGATTCCGGGATATCCACGAACAGCGATGTGGTCGCGACCTACCTCCGAAACCCGGACACGGGCAGTGGGTTTTATGTGCTGAGACAGAAGAACTCGGTCTCGACGTGTGTTGCCTCTTCGCTCGACTCAAAAGGGACTGTGCTGACGCGCCTGGCAGCGAAACAGTGCACACGTCGCTCCATATCACCCTCTCGTCGCTGTCGAAGGAGCTCGACATTCCCCTCGTCGCGCCGGCCGTGACGCTTGGTGGACGGCAGTCTAAGGTAGTCGTGACCGACTATAAATTCGGGTCGTCTCATATGGCGTATTCCGCCGCGTCCGTGTTCTTCGCCGGCAAGGTCGGCGGGCGGGACGTGCTGTTTTTGTACGGACGCAGTGACCAGGTGCACGAAGCTGCGATCCGCTTCGAGGGTGTCTCCAACCCCTGGTTTGCCCCCGCACATGATACGCCGCTGCTCGAGACGGACTTGGGCACGGTCGTGACGTTCTACTCGACCTCGGATGGGCTGGTCACGGTCTGGGACTCGGACACGCAGCTGATTCTGTTCGGGAGCGAGGAGTGGGTCGGCAGAGAGTGGTGGGCGCCGCAGCTGGCGGGCACGAACGAGACCGTGCTCGTCGGCGGGCCGTATCTCGTCCGCTCTGCGTCGTACGAAGACAGGGTGCTGGAGCTGACGGGCGACCTGGATGTCGATCGGGAAACGAGGCTGTTGCTGATTGGGCCGAGCGACGTGAGGCGCGTGCGATGGAACGGAATGGACGTTGTCGCTGACGCCGGTGTTGCGTCGGTTCGCGCGCTGACTCTGGTGCCCCGACTCCAGAAGCAGTCGCCTGCGATCCCGGATCTGGGCAGCCTCGAGTGGTTCTACCACGATTCGCTGCCCGAGATATCGTCCGAATATGACGACACGAATTGGGTCACGGCGGACAGGACGGAGACGAATATTCCCGAGAAGATGTGGTATGGGGATGGGAGAGTGCTGTATGGGTGTGACTATGGCTTGTGAGTTGTTTCGAGATCGAGGTTCTGATTGCTGATCATACCAGCTGCGAAAACGTCGTGCTTTGGCGCGGCCACTTTGATGCCGTTGGTGACGAGCGCAGCGTGAATGTGAGCATCAACGGAGGCCAGGCTTTCGCGGCCAGTGTCTGGCTGAATGACGTGTTCTTGGGCACGTCGTATGGAAAGTACGGAGAATGTTTTTGGTTGGTTGTTTGATACTAAAAACTGGACATAGCTCGACTAACAACCTTAACATTCTTGAAGAAACGGATGACGCATTCGTCTTCCCGGCTGGTGCGATGAAGTTAGGCGCCAACGTCCTCACGATTGTCCAGGTGCGTTGATGCGCCGTGTCCACGCGATTGCTGCTGAGCCACACCAAGGACAACATGGGCTTGAATGAGACGGAGGGCGACGACGCCGACACTAGCAAGAATCCGCGTGGGATCCGAGGATTCGCGCTGTTCGATGGGGAAGGGGCGCTGCTCGAGGGACGGTGGCGAGACTGGAAGGTCCAGGGCAAGGTTGGTGGCTATCAAGGGTTCGTCGCTTTTCGCCCTTTTTTCCTTCTGGGGCTGACGCAACTCAGATTCCCCGATAAACTGCGGAGCGTTTTCAACGAGGGTGGGCTGTACGGAGAACGCCTCGGGTGGCATCTGCCTGGCTTCGCAGGCTTTGACACGTGGACTCGTCCCTCCGAGCAGGGACTTTTGGCCATGGACCAACCGGGTGTCGGATTCTTCCTGACGCATTTCGACCTGGACATCAGCGAGTTTTTGGATGTTCATCTGTCTTTCGAGTTCGATGATGCAGGCGCAGACCGACAACCATACCGCGCGTTTCTGTTCGTGAATGGCTGGATGATGGGCGAGCGGGTCGCAAATCTGGGCCCACAGAGCAAGTTCCCGGTGCAGGCGGGGATCCTCGACTACCAGGGCACCAATACGCTCGCGGTCGCTTTCTGGAATATGGAACCTGTTCCGATTGGGACCCGGATCAAACTGGTTATTGATGGTGTGTGGGATAGTGCCCTTGGACGGGTCCCGGTTGAGGGTCTGGGCAAGGAGGGTTATGCGTGGACGGCGAGTAGGGATGTTTTGTAAGTAGGCTCGTTGTCAACGGCGGTATGGTAGCTTGTTCGTCAAACGCAAGCTTCCGGGTCCTTGTGATAAAGAATCTTCTTGCACCTGACAAGACACGGTCACGCAGACAATGATTTTCGGCGCGCTCCGAATGGGGATAGAGAGGGTGACACTTTCGCGTTCATGTTCGACTTCTGCCGTGACCATTGTTGTCAGTTGCCACCACCCACTTCCTGCTATATATAGGAAGGAGCCACCGTTCAAGTGCTTGCTCTGTGTCTACCACCACCTTGCTAGATGCCCCAGCATTCGCTCATGGAGAAAACAACGCATCTGGCTTTGATGAATGCGCTCAAGGCCATGCAGGACCGGAATACGCCCTCCTGTGCTCGTTCTCCCATGAGCACACTCACTCCACCCACCTCGATATCTGATGCAGGCAGTTACGAGGACAGCGCAGGGAGGGACGAGGGCTCCCAGACGAACGACACGGACACTGAAGAGCACGACGGAGAGGATGGGGAGGAGGAGGACGATGTGGCGGGCGCCCTTCCCCGCATCACCCTGCGCAACTTTGGCCACCCACAGCCCCTCGCGCGGCTCAAAAAGCGCGACCTTATCACACCCACGACATCCTTCGTCGGTCCGCCGGCGGTCCCTCCCGCACCCCGCGCACCCGCACCGTGGGTGAGCTCTCGACGCAGCAGCTCCACTTCCTCCACCTCTTCCACGTCTTCCTCCGCCTCCTCCTCGTCCTCGTCCGCGCCAAGCCGCAAGGCCTCCGCGCCCCCGACGCCCCCGATGCACAAACGCGCGCGCTACTCGGCGCCGCCGCGCCAGCGGCTCGCAGAGGCGAGGAACGGGCACCGCGTCGCGGGTGCACGGCTGTTCGCCGACGTGCGGGTGGAGGATCGGGCGGACAGGGGCGACGCGGGCCCTGGACCTGGGCTGGGGCTGGGCGTCGGGCTCGGGTCGCCGTTCAAAAGCCCCGGCAGGACGCGTCGGGTGGCGAGGAGCACGCGGAAGGACGCTGCAATGGGGCGCGACCGGGACAGCAGTCCCCTAGGCTCGCGGTGACGGTTTTTTTTTATTTTGGGGAGAGGAGGGGAAGTGGAATCTACATACTGTACTTACCTGCACGTTCGCTGTGCCGCATGGTTGCTACATATACATACTTGAGCTCGTCTCTGTACTAGTTGGAAATCTCGGATTTTATTGCATGTTTTTTTTTCGCGGTGGCAACTTCAGCTTCCGCGGAGATTGGTACCCTGGGAAGGTCGATGAAGTGTCACATGCGCCGAGGCCGCCGCTTCTTTCCCACCACATATGAAAAGTCTATTCTGACATATCCAGTCGACGGCCGCGCCTGCCACAGAACTTCACGTCGGGGGAGGGGACAGGAGCAGAGCCATGTGTGTGTGTGTCCTTGCAACCCATGCCACCAGAACCAACTATGCCGACGCTCAATACGAGGACGGGCCAGAATCACCTCGGAGAACGGCGAACGTGCCAGCTGCGTCGTCCGGAATGCGACGACTGGACCGTCTCCTGTCGAGCGCCGATTCATTCCAGGCATGGGGAGCCCATCCGTTCCCACGAGCGGCCAGTCTGATGATTTTTTTTCCGCTGACTAAATACCTGATTACGCATAGACTGGTGAGCAGCGTGATCCCGATTCTTGGGCCCCGGGCTCGATATGGGGCGTCTCCGAGCACCGTGTCCCGACAGTGCCAAGAGGGTCATCCGCGCGGACGTCGACGTCTGTGGACCGGCCCCCCTGATAATGGGATAGCTCCATCAAGGTTGTCACGTGCAACGGCACTACGCTTGCTGCCAACGCGCGTGCGGCCTGCCTCGACTCATTGACGTGTCTCATTGCGTTTGTTGCGCTCGGTCACCTTGTTGTGCCCGGAAGGTCGCATCTCCAAGGCCTCTCAGCAGAATTCCGGCCAAAAAAACGCGCTACGGCGGTGGAGGACCGGAAGGCGCCAGACATGAGCGATGACTGACGGCCAAGGCACGAAATGCACTGCGTGCCGAGTTGGCGCCGGGTTCTTTTTGTTCTCAGGATGGTTCTCCTTCATCTCGGCATGCCGTTCCCGGGGCAAAGGGGTTCCGAAAGATATTTGGTCGCCTCCCGCAATGACAATGAACAAGATCTGGAGTTTCACAAACATCAGCCGCAACTGCTTCGACAAGATTATAGCCTTACAGCTCGTCTGCCGGGATGACGCGGCGACAAGAGTCTTGCATCTCGTGTTCCTGATGAGACTATGCAGCCATCTTTCCGCGCCCTCGCATCTTTGGTCGAAAACCCGTCCTGGGATCTTCGCTCTACAATCCTTTCGCCTGCCAATTCATTCTAGTGACAATGGACACGAGCAATGGCGCTCCTTGTTCTCGTGCTACGCCGAGAAAAACAGCTTTCGCTCGAGAACGCTATGAACTCGCACAATCTTTGGGCTGCCGCAACGGACATGCGTTCCTAGTTTCCGAAAGCATCATCCATGGCAAGTGTCTCGCTTATTGCCACCGTCTGGTAATTCTGAGTTTGCGACGCATGGTTCCGCCTGGGAGGGATCTCTCCTTTCTTCGGCATCCGCTCGACTAGACCTTGTACGACTTCCCCAGCGGCGTGCTCTGAGACAACAAAACATCCCATCCGTTCCGCGTCTCTCTCGATTGCAACTCGGTCCCGCAGAAGCTTGTTGTCAAGAACGAGGACGAGGAGCACCCCAGGCTGAATCCGATGCATTCGCGACTACAGCGGGCAGTGCGGACACCGGCTTCGATGGTCGGACATCGAAAGGCCACACATTCACATGTCCACCGATGCTCAAAAATCAATGACCGCCATTCTAGCATCTCAGGGGGAATGGAATGACGATTCGCAGGCCCTGGGCTTGAAAGCTGGAAGCCCGAACTCGAACGGGGAAGTTAGTGATGCGACTCCTAACGCGATCACGTGGTTATGGATATGAATTAGTCCCGACGATAAAGAGCATGTTTCATCTTGAGATCTAACTAGGGCTCAGGCATTTAACCCCCAGGTGATCTGAATGTTATTTAACACCAGCAAAACCTGGTGGTGTAGCGTTAGATTCTACATGCTCCTCCCCAGCCCATGACACGTACTTCTGATTGAAAGCCCAAGTTACGTCCGACTCCGATTCGGGGCCGTACCATTTTATAGCCGGAAGATGTTCACTCCGCTCGAACGTTCTCGCATCCTGAGCGTGATCAACCAACTGATCGTCTAGATTCCAAACCTCCACGCGTTCCACCCCATACTCCCTCGCCACCGCGAACACCTGCTTCATCAGCTCGTCGAACAGATCCACAGACACCCGGAGCCGCGAAATTATAAGGGTCCTTGGATGCGGCGGCCGGGGATCGATCGTCCACGTTGCGTAGGCTGTCTTGTCGGCGCTGGCGACGCCCCACGTGACGGGTCGGACAGGAAGACGGTCCAGAAACTGATCGAGGCGGCGATGTTGGAAAGACGCGACGCCCTCACGGGGGAGGAAAGTGAAGACCGGCCGATCGACGTCTGCGTCCGACTCGATATCGCAGCGGATCGACTCGGAGTCGTGCTCCCACAGCCTCAGCACCGCCGCGCCATCCAAAAGCTCCCATCCAATCGCCTCTGTCGTTGTGGTCGTCGGCCGGGACTCCGCAGGCCGGACCTCCCACACCGTCGTCCGCGTCCCCGTGATGACCCACCCCTGCACACCCGGCACCGGGCCGCAGCGCGCGTAGAAGTTGCCCACGTCGCTCCACAGCGCGCTGGCGCACCCGTCGCGCCACCGCGCCGCATCGACCGCAGGCGGCGCGCCCCATTCCGCGCTCGGGAACGCCGCGGCGGGGAGCAGCGCCGGGTCCGCGATGGCCCAGTGCAGCAGGCGCATCATGTGGCGCGCGAACCCGCGCCCGCGGTGCTCGGGCGGGGTGAACACCGACGCGATTCCGTAGCAGGCGACGGTGCGGGCGGCGGGCTTGCCGGGCCCGCGCACGAGTCCTGTGCGTTTGAATCTGCGGATGGTCAGGATGCGCTGGGGAGCATGCAGGGCAGGCACGGCCGATGCGCGCGACTCACGTCTCGCAGGCGCACTTGAAGTCGAGAGTACCCGAATCGTCGCGGGGAGCAAGGACCCTGTGTAGTCGAAACGGGGAGTGAGTCCGACGACCGGTGAGCAGGAAACGAGACCCGCTACGCACCAGACCGTCAATCTCCCGTCCTGCGAGCCCTGCAACAGATCCTGCGCCGCATCGCGCTCCAGATGCTCCTCGAGAGTCAAGCCCTTGCCCCATTCCTGGTGCGTCCGCTTCCTCGCTTGGATGATCTGGGCGGGTGTGGCTGGGAAGAGCGACAGGGCGGACCAGTCGACGGGCGGGGGCGCGTTATCAGCAGACATCGGCGCCAATCACGGTGGGTGATAGATCGAAACAAGCCGTTATGTAAGTGCGCGGTTCATCATCAATAGTCATCAATATTCGTCCTCGACTCCAATGCACCGGGGTACTTGAATTACAGAGGTATGCAAAGGTATATACACAGAATATAAAAGAAGGTGCGCGGTCGGCAGTGGATATGGGCAGTAAAGATGGGGATAGATAAAGTAGTATGTGATGCGAATAATGTAGGATGCATAGTAGTGAGATAATCCAGAGATGACGAGTGAGCATAGCAGACAGAGACAAACAACAAGCAGACACGGAGGGAGAAAGACGTCAGAGCGACACAGCGGATCATGACCACCAGCCATCAGCACCCTGCGTCGGGGCCAGCGACACCACGCTCGGCGTCGGCGATGGCGCGTTCTGCCGCACCGGCGTCGAATACCGGTACGCCTGCGACGTCGGGCGGCGCGGCTGGTTGCCGAGCCCGGAGTACCGGCTGGCGGGGGTCGGGGTGTTGGCGACGGGGGCGTGGATGCTCGTCGTGCGGACGCCGTGGTTGCCGCTCGCAGCATGCATGCTGCCATTCGTCCCGCGCGCAGGCGCGTGTCGCGAGTCCCACACCGACGTGTTCTCGCTCAGCGTCGGTGTGTTAGGGCGGCTGGGATACACCGTGCTGGCGCGGGACGACGGGCGGGCGACTCCGTTCGTGAGACCGTTCAGACTGGCGCGTGGTGCACCGGCAGATTTCGTCGGGGTCTTGGCGCGCGCACGATCCTGCTCCAGCTGCGCCACTTTCGCCTCAAGCGCGATGATCTGATCGCGGAGCTTGTTGTCCCGGTCCTGGTGTCATTCATTGAGCACACTGAGTACTCAAGAACAAAATCAGAGCATCACGCACCTGCGCCAAGCGCTCATCAGCCTCCCGCTCTTCCAGCTGCAGCCTGACCAGCGAGTGGTCAGCTTCCAGCCGCGAATGCATCTGCTCAGTCTGATCCAGCTTCGTCTGCGTGAGCTCGAGCTGGCCCTCGTAATCCTTCGCCCGTTTCTCCCATTCCGCCGATCGCAGCTGAGCGGTCGACAGACTCTGCCTCGCAGACACAGCGCTCTTCTCCGAGTTCACCAGCTTCGCCTCTTGATCTTTGAACCGTTTCAGGAGAGCAGCATGTTCCGCCTCGATCGCCTTGCTGCGCTCCCGCACCTGGCGCAGCTCTTTCAGCTCCTCGTTGTCCGCCTGTCCGATCAGACTTGTGAGCATCTCGATCTGGGCGGAGGCATGGCGCAGGTCATCCCAGTGAGTCTGCTGCGAAGTCAAATTGTCGTGCTGCTTCTGCAGTGTCGCAAGAGCTTGCTGCGCCGAATCCTTGTCGCGAGCAGCGAACGTGGCCTGCAGATCAAGCGAGTCAACCTGGGAAAGGGTTCGAGCACAGTTTTTGTACAGGTTGACCGAGACACACCTTGGACTTGAGAGCCTGCCGCTCAGCCTGGGCCTCCCGGCTGATCTTCTCAAGCTCGGCAATCTTATCTTGACTGGTCTGGTGCGTCGCATCCGAGACCTGCAATCTCGCCAGTGCCTTGGACAGCGCCTGCTCCAGCTCTTTGTTCCTCGCCTCGACCGTCGCCATCTCCGAAGCCTTGGCCGACGTAAGCGTCTGTGCGTCCTTGAGCTGAGTGCGCAGCCTGTCCCGGTCGGCCTCCACGATGGACAGCTTCTCGACAAGCACATCCTTCTCGACACGCACTTGGCCGTGCAGCCCACGAGCCTTGGTGGTCTGAACCTGGAAGTCGGTGTTGCTCCTCCGCAGCTCGTCCATCTCGCGCTTGTTCGCATCGCGCGTCAGCGCGAACTCTGCATGCGCGCCCTGTAGAATGTTCGTTGCAGCTGCCAGCGAGTCGGGCAGGGCGGTGAGGTGCTCCAGCAGATCCTTGTTCAGCGCAAGAAGCTGTTGGCTGGTGGAGGACATCGCCTTTTGCTCGGACGCGACGTTGTTGACGGCAGACTTGAGCTGTTGCAGATGCTTATCCGATCCGCTGGCGGATTTGACCGACTCCAGAAGACGTGGTGGGAGACTGTTCACCAGCTCCACCGCTGCGGCCAGATCGCTCTGCTGCGCAGAAAGCTGTCGCTGACCGTCGACCAAGGTGGTGAGATGGGCAGAAAGCGGCTCCAGCAAGGGAACAATGCTCTCCGAAAGCTTGCCCGCCATCGTTTCGGGATTGAGCGACCTGTCGCGGACGGCCAATCGCGAGTCGAGACGCTCGACAACCAAATCCGCGACTTGTTCTTTGATCTCGAATGCATCAATGGGCTTGATGGCATGCCGGATCTCAGAAGTCAGCCGGAGGGCAATCGCATCTGTGTCCACGTTCTGAGACTGCGACGGAAGAAGAGGAAGAATCCGGTCAACGATCAGCCCCGCCGTTTCTCGCTTATCGGAAGCCAAGTCGATCAACTGTGAGATGTGGGGCTTGACGGCTTGAGTGAGCTTCTCCGTGAGGTGATCGTAGTCGACCATCTCCGGACGCAGGCCATTCAGCACAGGCACCAGGGCAGAGACAACCCCCTCGACCATCGAGTCGCGCTCTCGGGCGGGGGCAGCCCCGTTGATAGTCTCCAGCCGCAGAGAAAGATCCTGGATGGCATCCACCACAGCATGCACAGTGCGCTGGTTCAGCTCCTGCATCAGCGGACCAACACTGTCGCCCGGCGCCACTCCCCGGAGAGATAGCGCAGCGAGCTCGTGCTTCAGCATCGACCGCGCCTCAGCGTGTCCCTGCTGCACCAGATCCTTGATCATCTCAAAGTCCAGCTCGCCCCGCGCATCCAGCTGGCTGTCTTCCAACCCGCGTGCCGCAGAATCCTGCAGCTGGCTGCGGAAAAGCTGCACGACCTCGGTGATCATCGCCTCCGCCGACGGGCTGAGCGACGTGCGATTCTGGAGTATTTGGCGCCGGAAGCCCTCCAGCTTGTCGTCGAGCAGAGCCTCCAAGCGCTCCTCGTACCGGTGCAGCTCCATGCGCGTCGTCAGGTCCGCAGCCACAGATTGCTCGTCGGACACAGACGGATCGGTCGCGTCTCTGAGCGCGTCCGGCAGCGACGACCGCCGGCGAGAATGCGTCCTCGCTGCGGAGGCAAACACATCCTCGACCGGGGACATCGACAGGCCCGGATCAGTGACAAGCCGAGAGCGCGAGATCTTGCGCGTGATCGATGCCACATTTTGGTCGTCCAACGACGGCCGGTGGGAGTGGAACTCGTGCGAGCTGAGACGCGAGCGCACGGTTCGGCGCGTGCGTTCGTCCCCGTTTGCTGCCATCGCCTTGAAAAGTCCGGCTGGCACGGTGTTGCCGGACCGGAAGTCCAGTTGGACGCTGGGGGATGAACCATGTGCAGTAAAGTCCAGAGGGATCGGCGGCCGCTTGCGACTCGACATCGTAGCAGGCTCAGGCTCAGGCTCAGGCTGAGGCATATCCACAACCTCGGTCTCGAAACTCTGCGATGCGTCATCGACAGTTGGGCTCATCGGCACCGGCATGACCGTCGGCAGCTCCAACGAATTCGATGCAGCAAATCCGCCAAACGAAAACGCTGTCGGCTCTTCGGGTCGGCGGGGAGTCGGCGGGAACCGGAACGACGACATGGTGTCATCTGCCTCGGAGCCCGTGCTTAATCTCTGGCGCTTCTCCCTTCCTTGGGTCTTGAATGGCGACCCGTCCACGGTCAGCACTGTCTCTGGCTCGGGGAACGCCACATGAGGGACCCCAGCGGGAGGTCGGAATGTGAAGCCAGTCGGTTTGAATTCCGCAGCAGCGATGTTGAGACCCCGGGGCTTGAATTCGATCGCACCGGGATTGAGTCCGGTTCCGCTCGAGGGAAGCCTGGAGTGGAGCGAGATCGGCGCACCGAACACAAACGGTTTGGCATGAGGATTGAGCGAATCTCGTCGGGGCATCACGGGCTGCGACTCGGGCTGCACATACATGCTATTTCCCGACGGCAGGCGAGAGTGCGCCTGAGCAGGATCGTGTATTGTGAAGTTGCCAGATGTGCCTCGCGAATGAGGCAGCGCAGGAAGCGGGCGAGACGCCGGAGATGCGGCTGTGTAATACTTGTTCGCATCCACGGCCAAGTATTCTGTGCGATCCATCGCCTCTTCTTCACTTGGATTGGAGATCAGGTCGTCGTAATCCCTGCGGAAGACCGCAGTGTTTTCTGGTGGCCGCGGGAAATTGGGCACACGTCGTGGTTCGTCGTCCAGCCTCCTCTGCATGCGCCGGTCCACGCGCTGTTGTCTCGCACGCTCCTCGTCGGAGGGATTCGACCAGTCGCCGATGCTCTGTGTGAGGATTAGCATGGTCGGTGCAGCAGATAATAAGCGCGCGTACCTCCTCATCTGAGATATCTCCCCCACGATAATGATCCTCGGAGCCAGTCCATTCCGCTGATACTTCGAGCTCCAAATCCATGTCCTCGGAAGCATCGCCTAGCACGAGCTCCGTCCTCTGGAGGCCATTATTCAGCACGTCTCCGACGATACCGCCGACCGTCCGCAACGAGAGCGCCCCCGAAAGCTTCGAAACGTGTCGCGAATGCCCCACCGTTCGCATAGCCTCCTCGTCTTCTTCATCCTGGAATTCATTTTCAACTTCCACTCGCCTCTCCTCCACGCCGGCATTCGAAATCGTTGCAAAGAGATCGTTTCCTTCGCTCTCTTCCTCGGTCTCATCTTCCTCCTCTGTAACATCCAGCCCAAAGCCCCGGATAAAGTCGGGCCGGCTGTCTCGGCTCACAGGCCGTGAGGATTGTGCGGACTTGGATGTGAATGGGGGTATGGACAGGGGGATACGCCCTTGAGGAGCGTGTATCAGCCCCGTATCGGACTCCGCTCCCGATTCCGACGCCGTGAAAGTCTGGTCCCGCGGAAGGAAGGCGTTGGGTCCGAATGGATTAGATGCCGGCGAGAAGGTGGGTGGCTGCGCCAGGGACATGCTATAACCGTGTCGATTGAGGAACCTTGGCGCCGGCTGGAACCCTGGTGATGGGGAAAGACCCATGGGTGGTTGGGGTGACGTGGAGAGCGAGTTGAGGGGTGACGGATTCAGCGACGACTTGGTCTGCGCTTGCTGCAGTTTATTCAGTTTGAAGAGCAGCAGTGCTGGGTCGGCTGGAGATGATATCTGCAAAGAAAGAGCGAAAAATTTGAGCCTCCCACGTGTATGCCACGAGTCGCATAAGAAAACGCACCGAGGCAGCACGAGTGTGGGGACCATGAGATGAATGAATGGAAGGGCTGCTCTCGACACCCAATCTCTCCAGTTTCTCGTCGATCTCCCGCTTTTTGATATCTTGCCACGCACGCTGCAAGATGATCGAGTGAGCCAAAGTTCGGCGCAAGCAGGATTCGATGATGTACACACCTTGCCGGGAAGAAACACCTCCAGAGTAGGCGGCATCTCGCCCCTGTGGTCTTCCGGGGGGAACATCTCCCCCGACGTCAACTCCGCCTCCGCCACGACAACGTCCTCGAAGACAAACGGCGCGTCCAACGGCCGCCTGGCCCACACCGGGGGTTCCAGCGCGGCCCCCGCGTCGTCTTTGGGGGCCTCGTGGGGCAGCTTGACGATGACTTTTTTGGCCTTCGCGGGCGCGGGGGGTGGCGTGTCCACGACAGGTGGTAAGGGACTGAGTTTACGTGCTGCGGCCGGACCCCCGAGGACGGCCTTGGGTGGTCCTCCGATGCTGGGCTGTCTCCTGTTTCGACCAGGAAAGGGAGGCCCGCCACCGAGATTCAACTGCCCCGGACCCAGTGATGGACGGGGGAAATGCCCACCGCCGGGAGTCATGGGGAATGTGCCCTGAAGCGCCGACGGGGTGAAGTTAGCCATGCTAGCTGCCCCTTGGCGGTGGGTCGGGCGCGGAGGGGCGCCGGGGACCGGGACGTTGAAAAACGGTTGCATCGGGGTGCGTAGAGGGAATTGTGGGAGGAAACCATTGTGTAAGGCCGTAGGCAGCGCGGGGGAGAACATAGGTTGTCCGCCGTATGCCAGGGCAGGGTTGTTGAGTGGTGGGGGGATGTTGACATTCAGACGCAAGGGCTCCCTAGGAGCCATGGCGGGCAACTACCAGGAGGGGACAGTGACAACGGCAAAATGCGGATGTGTTTGTTCTCCAAATTTTGGCACTGCCATTGCTCATGGTACCAACTCAATTGATGCTTCTACTACTGACTGGTACAGATTTCTGCTACACACGAAAGAGAATCTGATTGCAGGAACCTCTGCATCTCTCCTCAAATACGCTCTATCTGCTCCGTGTGTGTTTTCTATTCTGCCAAGAACTCTTCGCGGCAAGCCATGCCGCGAGTCATTTTAGGACGAACGTTCTGTGCTCCTAACCCGCACCAGAGTCTAGAGGTGAAACATCCGCGGGCATAAAATGCGAATCACACACGATGTAGAGAAGACTGGACCATTATCACCAATCCGAGTCCGGACCTCGTTTAAGTCGTTGAGAGAGTCGACCGTACCTAGGCGGTCTGGTTCGGGATCTAGACGCGTGAATCACATCGTCAAAGTATCGCGCAGCCGGAACCGACGGAGCGGGACGCTATTCTTTGGAATTGACAGCGGGTGAGATCCATTCACTGTGTCGCCGATACTCGATGGTGCTGCCCGACGGGACATCGTCGGTATAAATGGTTTGAAGACGCCAACCTTTGTGTCCGGCACAACGCGCAACCCGTAACACCAGGAGGATCCACGCGTCGAGATCGGGGCAGCCCTTCAGATATACGCATCGGTCAGGTTTCCGAGCCCTCCTGAAAGTCGCGTTCCTGCGCGTACTGCGTAGTCTGTTGTGAGACGCGTTTCGTCTCGGAGACAGGAGCCTTCCCCTGTTTCGCAGGCGAAACAAAGCAGCCAACAGCACATCATCCGTACTGCACTCTCCTTGCACGTATGACAACCTGAGCGCCAGTCAGTCGTCAATTCGGATGTAGTGGGTAACACAAATGTCATCCGGCCAAGGCGGCCCCATTCCGAAATGCAGGTCACGAAGTTGAGCGAACAAGGCAGCGAGATATGCAGGAGTGACATGTGGGGCCTCTCAATCAGCTGCGTCCACTTTCAAGCTTCATGGCGACCCTTTTCAGACGGCAAAGAGGAAGACTAACGTTGAACAAGTCCTTGAGCGTTCACCTCGAAAATGGCAGATCTCAGAGCCGCAAATCGTTCCGCCTTCAATGCTCGAGCCGGCGTCCGCTTCATTGGGTGGAGATCCAAAGTCCGGACTCGGGTCACCGAGATCTAGATGGATAGCCAGCCAATAGTTGCTTGCTGCCATGCGCCAGTCGAGGCTGGGACACTGGCCATAGGCCCGGGTGAAGGGTACAGTCTGTGCCGCGCATGGCGATTTTCCAGATGTATACGTGATCAGAGCACCAGCAAGCCCAACTTCGAGTCTTTGGCGCGCGAAGAGCTCAGAAGATAGGTAGATGGTAGAAGCCAGATAAACAAACCTCACGTGTCGAGTTGTCGACAAGAGTGCATCCAAGATATTTGATCTAGCAGGGTCAACACCGTCACTTACCTTTCTGCCCGCACGACCGTCATGGCACGTCCCCACAGCTGAAGGATTCCCCGGCCGAGGACGGATTTCGCCCGCAGAGCTCCGGAGTCACTGTCGACTCAAACTGCCTGGAGGTGTTCACCGAGCTCAAGCTGAAGCACAAGTCCAAGTCAATCATATGATCTTCAACCTCAGCAAGGACAACACACAGATCATCGTCGAGAAGACCTCTTGGTGCATAATTGATGTATACATCTAGATGGTGATGGCAAGACCTGCCGATTTCTCACGGTCCAAGGTAATTGTGATAGCTTATTGTTGCACGGACCGTGTCGCTCACTTTCTTTTTGTAGGCCATCCTGGCTTGCTATTGTATCCAATTTGGAGGTATATGGTGCCTCATGCGTCGAAAACAATTAGGACGGTCCGAGCACTCCATGCGCCTTGGAGTATTTAAGCAATGCGCGGGAGGAACGGCTCCTCTTCCATCTCGTGCTCCAGCAGACCTAATCTTACCTCGCGCTGCCTTCCGTTATCTCTCCTTTCCACATCACCGATGGACGACTTTACCCCATTCCACCTTGCCACCGGCGGGGACCCTACTCGCTCGGGCGCAACCACGACTACGGATCCGCCTCGGAACGAGGACGGCGCGAACCATGCCGCGCACGGAGGCTGCATAATATCATGACAGCGGAGGCAGCGCCCGCTATATCATTATGGGTATCCACGCCCTATTTATGCTCATGTCATATCCTGCCTGCGGTGAGTGTCCTGCATGTCCCGGATCCGGGCTTTGCTGATGTCTTCAGGCTCGGATATCATCACTTACGCTCTCTATCTACCTTTTAACTTCAATCCAATCATAAGCCTGAGAAAGGCACTGTACCCATAATTTGACCACCAATCTACGGCGAAAGCCAGGATGATAGATACTTCCACAAATAGATTATACAAGCCAAACACGCACACGGTTTTTTCTGAACGGATAGTTGCGCTGGTCATACTTACAAGAATTCACCATCACCCTTTGAAGGAGCAGAGTCAGAACATGATTCTGGATGCGGATGTAGCTCACGTGATCGTGTAGGGGTCTCTTGCGATCAGACCGAAGTAGAGCGAAGTCCACTAGTGCTCATCATGAATGGTATCACCACTTTCTCTGCGCCGATGATTCGGGCCGACTGACCTGCACGAATCATCATGTGTGTGATGCTTGAGAAACCGACGAGGACCGACGGCTATATCTTCTGAAACGTCCCGTGGATATGGATATGGACATTGGATTTTGTTCCTTCATCCACCATATGGGCGCGCACCATTTCGTACATAAATCAAGGACACGACAACTACATCTCCGGTCTGCGCTGTATGCACATCCTCAAATTGTATTCCTATCTGCGCACAATTGGCGACCATCTCTGAATCGCGGCGATCGGACCGGACGGCATCTCACAACTCATGGTAATGGTCCTAGATTATTGTTACACGGATCGTTTCTCTGACATTCCTTGCATATCAACTGGGTTTTCAATGGTATCTACTCTAGAGGCCATCCGGTCTTATGAACTGCGGGCAATTAGGCTAGTCCGGTAGTTCCATGTGCAGTTTCGAGTATCAAAGCAACGTGCGGGGAGATGTCCGATTCTCCATACCGTCCGTCAGTAGGCATATTCTCTAAGCCCTCTCGCGTTCCCTTTCGTCATAGCTCAATCGCAGCCTCGGCCGCACCGCACATGTACGACTAGATGCCGCTGCACCTGGCCGCCGGTGACCCATCTCCCCCGAGAGAGACCACAACATCCCATCCCCTCGTAACGAAGACGGCGCGAGCCAGGGGACGGCTGGAGGCTGCATAATATCATGATGACTCTACGCTGAGTAATGCCTGCATGTTCAAAGGTCCGGATCTCTTGACATCGTCAGCTTCGGCAGTTACTTCCACTATCTGATTGCCCTCCACCTTCCGTTGATCGAATAACAGGCTGGCCAATAATCTGGAGCGAGCACAATCTGAGTGTCTACTTTCATGGCTACTGTAACATCATACGCGTCAGAAATTTTTGCGCATCTGTTTTTCTGAGGAAGCACTCGCATCGCACACTTGTTGGAGCTCGTGATCGCTTTTTCAACGCGTCAAATCCGGATTAGGGCACAAGTGATGCACACGTGATCCAGTGGTTCACGTGCACCAATCATAGCGAAGCTCGCTATCACCGCTTCCTTTGTCACCTGTGGGCGTCAAGATCGGCGGTCTAAGCGTTACTTCCAGACGGATCTAGCCCGCGAAGACTTGAAATAACAACGACAACAAACATCCGAGAACGAATACGAAAGGGGGGGAGTACACGATACGGCGGAAGCCTGGGAAAAGCTCGACCAGACCCCATCCGCATCAGGGGGGTATCATCAGAACAAACAACGCGCGAACTCTAATCTGTGCACACGCGGGTCAGACGTTGGAATTGATGGGGGTGCACCCACAGTTGTTGGAATACCGGGGGTCTTGCGGGGGACCTGGTGAGCCGTCAGTCAGCATGCTGGCTTCCACGAACCTGTTTTGCGCTGGGACTCACCGGCCTGTGGATTCCTCTGTCCCCTATGTAGAGCGTGCAGTCAGTGGGAGCAGCGGAGGGTGGCAATCGGACTCACAGCGTCAGGGATATTCGATTGGATGTCTGTGCGGTCCGCGAGACCGAATGCGCAGGCGGCTCCTGCCCTTTGCGATTTGGCGGGGGCGGGGGCGGGGGCTGGGGCGTCTGGGACCGGGTCTGGTACGATGCAGCTGGAGCAGAGGTCGGTGTGGTGATGCGCAGAGAGATATCAGGCGACGTACGCGCGCGGCCACCCAGTTCGTACGGAAAGTCGTTGATCCTGTTGTGCGTCGTGTGGGCCGGCGTGCGCTTCACGTGCGAGGCGTCGTCTGAAACAGCTCGATAAGCAGCGCCTGCACCTTCCCGACGACGTATTTACTGTAGGGGTTCGGGGCTTAGGCCGGATAAGCAGCGGCGCAGGACAGTAGGCGCAGATACGACTTGCCCTGCGTAAACTGGCCCAGCGCATTCAGGTTCCCCATTCTGACGTCCAGCGGCCCTGCGGGGGGTGCGCCCATGCTGTAGCTCCCCGCCATGGGCTGGTTGAGGCTGGCCTGTATCTGCGCGAGGCGGGCATGGTCTTCAGGGGTAAAGCCGCTGCTGTCGACCTTGTCTGCAGTTGCGGCCGTGAGCCTCCGAAAAAAAGACAGGGGTGCCGGTGCATACAGGAGACGTTTTCAGGGCGTTTGCGTGTGCGGTGGTCGTCGTTCTTTTTGTTGCGACTCGATCCGGGGCTCGACATGATGATGGCACAAAGAAAATGTCGCAAAGATGGAAGCAAATCGTCCTTATACCATTGTGGCCCAACCGCCGCCTTGAGGCTCCGGTTAATACGCTCACAGGGTCTCCTTCTGTTTTATCGGATCCCTTTGAAAACTATCAAGATCCCTTTGAGGAGCTTGAAATCACTCTCTACGGAGTTATTCGTTCTCTGCCATCACCTCGAGGCAGCCAGAAGCAAATCTCGATATCTCACCGCGACGGTTTGCACACGTAGCCCGAGGGACTTGTATTTAGAGCCTGTTCGGATGTCTCGAAGTGACTTCTACTTTTCTTTTGAGTTGCCTTATAGAGTAGTCAGATCAATGATTATCAGGCAATCAAAGATCTGGCGTGACATTACATTTTGGCTCACGACACCACGACGCATCGCGGAATTGTAGCGCGTTATGCCTCCCGACCGCCGACTCAACAGCCAGCGGATGATCCTTGCAGGCCTCCAAGTCTGGTCACTCATAAATACTGTTGCCATCTTGTTGGCAAGCTCGCAATACTGGAATCAGCCATATCACAATTCAGCGCTCAGCGGGGAAGCTTGGGTGAATGAATTGATTGCAGGTCACCCAGATAGAATTCATTGCGAACTTGGTATGAGGGTGGAGGTCTTCATGGAACTTCTCAAGGAGCTCTATATGTACTGTGGTCTCAGCAACTCAAGATATGTGACTTTGAAGGAACAAGTTGCAATCTTTCTCTACTCATGTGTCACTGGACTGTCCATTCGTCATGTTGGTGAGAGATTCCAGCGCTCAAATGAGACTATTTCGAAGTTTGGCTTTTTCTATGTGGCAAATGTGTTCATTCTGATGCAGACTCGCAGATACTTCTGCAAAGTCCTTTTTGCTCTTGTGTCACCAGCTTTTTATCTGTGTTACGTTCAGCTCCCTCGTGCATCAGATCCCATTCCGGCATCAATTTCCTCAAACCCAAAGCTCTCCCCGTTCTTTGACCAAGTAGTTGGATCACTGGATGGCACACATATTGTTGCTGCACCATCTGGGGTGGATCGTGAAGCAATGCGGAATCGGAAGGGTGTACCAACACAGAATTGTCTTGCTGCATGTTCACAGGACATGGAGTTCCAGTACATCCTGAGTGGGAATGAAGGATCCATGGCCGATGCAACACTCTATCTTAATGCGCGGACAACTGATTTCCCTGTCCCCGAGGGCCGTTTCTACCTTGCAGATGCTGGTTTTGGTACTTCCAATGCAACTTTGGTCCCTTACTGTGGTGTACGCTACCATCTTGCAGAGTGGGGTCGTGCAGACATCCAGTAAGTCTTGTGGCCTCACATATGTATTGTCTTCTCATGTGATTGCTAGGCCCAAGAACAAGGAAGAGATCTACAACCTCCGTCATGCTCAAGCACGTAATGTGATTGAGCGTATCTTTGGTGTAATCAAGCGTCGATGGCAAATTCTCAGTCGTGCGCCAGAGTATGACATGTCTGTTCAAGCACAGATACTCCCAGCTCTGGCCGCATTGCACAACTTCATCCTTTGCCATGACACAGAGGAACGGAGCGAAGTTCTTTCTGATCTTGATGCTTTCGATCCTAGCCCTGGTTTCTGTTTGGACCCTGAATTCGGATCGCTTGCTGAAGGAGTAACTACACGAGCTGAGAAGACAAGGTCCGAAGAGAGGCGAGATGACATTGCACAAGCTATGTGGGACAGCTATCAGGCTGAGTTAATGCGTCGAGAAGCACAGGTTCATCATGAAGCTGAAGGCCATTTGTAGACATGATTATAATCATATTCTGTGTATTCTACTGCACGGTATCAAAAAGACAAGGGTCAATCACAAAGATATTCAGTTTTCCAAGTTCCGCCATGATCCATTCAATCCGCAAGCCCTCATCTTCGAGATCAAAATATTCATCCACTAGACGGACATCACGAAAGATGCTGATGAGACTGAGCTTCTGAGGTCCATCCAACCAAGTGATTCCTTGTACATGCCAATTGGTGTTGCGTCGACGCTCGGGGCTGAGTGGTCCAGTCGGAGTGATGCCTTGCATGTATGTTCGCATAAGGCCGTTCATATCAGCTGCTGCTGACACAAGATTGTTGAGGCGCTCTGCTGCCTGTGCACTGCTTGATGGCCGGAGACGTTTACGAGATGCAGCAGGGGTAGCCTGCGCCGGAACGCGCTTGCGTGACAATGCTGATTTAGGAACAGGTGAGTCGTTCTGGAAGTAAGAGATCAGTATGGGACTAGAAGACAAGCACATCAATCATACCACAGAAGTCGTGCCGTCCTCGGCGTTATTGGTGCCCGAAAAGGACCGGTCCATCTTGTCTTCATCCCAAGCGGGTGAAGGCTCACGATCATGAGCCGGAGGCATGTGTGCCTGAGAATCTTCGGTCGCGTTTTGTGATTCGGGCTCATCTTGTGTCTTGGTAGTTGCTTGGCTGGTTTCCTGGGTTCGGACGGTCGATTGCGAAGTGCTGCCATTGCCGGCATGAAAAGCGTAGGTTCCCTTTGCCTTGGACGGCATCAGAGCTGACATCTTCTCATGGTACGGCCAGCCTTTTCGTCGGAAGCGCTTTGCCTTTGTCTTGATCTTCACCCAGTCGTCCCACGTCGAAACCATGGCCGGAACGACAGTGACACCTGTCTCATCATTCCAACTGTACCCCGACGTCTTCTTGATCTTGTCAACAAGAAACCAAAGGGCGCGAAGCTGCCCGTTTGTCGGATTGGCATCAGATTGATGCAACAGACAGAAGAATACGTACGTCGCTGTACTTCTGACTGCAGCCAGGGCCGGTCTTGTCTCCACCCTCGGTGATCCGTTTGTTGAGCTCTACAGCAAAAGCACGCCAGAAATTGGACGAGAAGAGGCCTTCGCTACCCTCGCTGGCATGCTCTATGAGGTAGTCTACCATGAACTCGACGTCGTCATCAGTCCAGCTTGCTGGCTCCTTCTTTGTTCCGTTGTTCGTGCCTTGAGGTCTGGGCTGTGGCTGTACATTGGAATCCGCCATGGCTTCGCGCGTGCAAGAAGATCGACACTGAAGGTCACAGAAAGTCACATTAGGTTACAGATGTGACACAACGTGTTCCTTTTTCTCCGACTACTCTATAAGGCAACTCAAAAGAAAAGTAGAAGTCACTTCGAGACATCCGAACAGGCTCTTAGCTTGTTCTACTGGACGCCGGGCGTATGCTTGACCACAAATACTTCTTTTCAAGTTGCACTTTGATTGATACGACGACGCTTGAACTACTTTCTTTCCTGTTCGAGCCAACGGAGAGAGCGGAATCCACACAGTGTGACTTACATCCGGCCGACCTGTCCGGAAGATCGCGCCAGATGAAGCATGTCAGCATGCCGCACCCCGGACTGGAGATGAGAACAGAAACGGGGGCATGTGTGGTATGACACCAAGTGAGTTGGGCTTGATGGCATGGGAACAAAAAAGTGGACTCGGGTATGCGCGGCGCGCATGCACGCGTGTCTTCTAGTAATCTAGCTCCTGGAACCGGCGCCTCGCAGAGTGAAAATCCCAATTCGGCGACGGGCACTGGGAGTTTGGTATGCGAAACAAACAGCCATTCAAGTTGGTTGGATTGGGGTTACTGCGAGTCCATGTCGACGTCGCCTAGATTGATTTCAAACGGGCTCCGCTTGAAAATTCCTTCTTGATTGGTCATATTGAGTTCTCTGACTTGCGTGAGCCAGAGGCGTGCAACTTGAGGGCTATAGTACTGACGAGTGGTGGGACGCATGAGTCGTTTGCAGCCTGAGAGTCGGTCAAGGAGCACGTGATCACGTGGGCCAAGCAGAGCCACGGTGACCGTGACAATCAGGTGATTTCTACGCTTGTCCTGCACAATCTTATCTCGAGTGTCTGGACCCCATCAACTGCTGGCAAATGAATTCCACGCGATTAATACAACGCTTTTGACATGTTCAACGCCAGCCGGATTGACGGGGCCGGGAGAATGGGCCGGACTCACAGGACAAGAATCGAGACAGCCTCTCGCTATCATTTCCAAACTCGCGCACTGTACAACCATGCCACGCACAGTTTCCGTGTACGATTCTACTTCTTTCCAAACTCCACGCCCTTCGACGATTATCCACCGCACTCAATGCGGTGCATTGCACAGTGTTTCATTTCGTATCTGCCTTATGCTCATTTGTACTGAAGATTGTGGCCCTGCGCGACATGAAACGCGAACGAATAAGCAACTCGCTCGAGTATGTCCACAGTCCTCGACTCATATGTGATGCTCGCTACAAGGGGTCTGAGCGCAAGTTCTAGCATCAACCCGTCGACTTGCAAGCCTTTTCAGGCGGCTAGCTGAGTCTGACGATGAATCTGATGGCAGTCGACTGGCCCTCGACGCCCACCGGAATGCTCCATGCTCTTCCATTGGCTCCTCTGCCCCGAAATCCTCCCAAATTGTCTGCATAGTGGGCCAGCCGTCCAGATAGCGTCAGGTCTCTTCTGGAGTCGAGTGTATGACCGCCAGAGGAGACTTGTCTCTCACTTTTCCATATGAGGCTATGCCAGTACATGTGTAGTCTGAGTGCAACATCTTGAGAGAGGCCCAATCTAAGATTACAGTCCCATTACTGCATGTGCCATTGATTTGTGCTGCATTTCTCAAAGCATCAACATGGATTGGATCCAATTGTTATCTGGCCCTGAAGTGACGCATTGGGAGCAGATTTATGGCGTTCGAGATCTTGCAGTCATGAGTCGAAGATTGTCGCATATAGAACGCAATGAGTATTTTTGTAATTCAAACACTGCCACCAACCAAAGTCGCCCATGATGAACTTTCGAATAAGCTCGAGATGAGATGCTTACATCGGATAAGTAAACATCATCATCTGACACGCTTTCAAAAGAAGGACAAGCGTCACAGGGACATCCACTCACGTGACCAAACATTTCTGATGAGTCTAGCATCGCGGTCTAGACTGGTCCATGACGACAATGGAGCTCAATTCGGTGACATCATCGAGATCTACTTTGCTTTCGTCGTCCAAGTTGATGGACTTTTTCGCTGCAGTCGGCGATGCCCAGCATGTCGCCCACAATCTTCCCGACGATACCAAATCATTTGCGGAGGCCGTAGCCGCCCGCTTCGGCCAGCAAGACAATATGTCCACAGCTCGCTTACTCCCGCCCCCCGTGCTCAAAGTTCCGCTTGTGTCTATGCCCAGTGTGCCCAGATTAGCACCATCAGCCCCCTCGAACGCCGACCAAAAGCCCTTGGACGCCTTTGCGCTCACTCCCCAGTCACTTCCCCAATGGATTAATGACCCCCATACTCTCATTATCGACATCCGGCCCCACGCGGCCTATTCCTCGGCGCGCATCTCCCGTGCCGTGTCCCTGTCCGTTCCATCGACGCTGCTCAAGCGGCCTATGTTCTCTCTCCAGCGGCTGGCGGGAATGCTGCCCTCCAACTCAGCCCGCACCCAGTTCTCCGCTTGGCGTTCAGCCTCTCGGATTACCGTCTATGACGCGGACTCCACATCGCTTGGGGACACATCGAACATACGGGGCCTTCTCCGGAAGTTCCGCGCCGAGGCTCCGGAGGCCACGATCGAGCTAGCGTGGGTGGTTGGTGGATTTCAAGCGGTGTGGACTACAAGGCGGGATCTGGTTGATGTTGTGCCTCCGACACCGGACAACGAGACGGAGGACGATGATGTAGAGGATGCTCCCTCAGTCAATCGCACGCTTAGAGCGCACGATCTTCCCCGTTCTGCATTTGCGCTCTCGAGCACAACGCAGGGACCTCGCCCAGGGCGAGGCAAGTATCGCTGGATTTCTCTTCCTGAGAGAAGCACTGACCTCTGCACAGGCCCCTTCATCCACAATTCCGATAATCCGCAACCTATCATGGATCCTACCGATCAGCCTGCGACCCTGGCAGCATTCAACCCGTTCTACGACTCTGTCCGCCAGAACGTCGAGCTTAGCCAAGGCATCACTGAACGGATCCCCCTCCGATTGTCTCGCCGCGTACGACGCCGGATCGGAGAGCTGCCCTTCAAGTGGCTGCGTGACATTGCCAAGCGGGCGGCACCTGTCACACCGCCTGATCTTGCGTCGGGAAGCTCGATGGATGTGTCCTTCTCTCAGGTCCGCGGCCCCCGTCTGGACTCAAGTGAAGAGGAAAGTAGCGACTCCGGTCTCAGCGGGGTCGATCGCTGGGGTCAGCCAGATGACTTGGAGCCCAACCCACAGCCCAGGCCAACCGATGTTGAGGAAGGCACTGAGGCCCTGGCTATGCAGTTCTATCGGATTGAACTAATGGAACAGCGACGAATGATGGGCATCATGGAGCACCACAGCCACGAGAGCGGCCCTCCCAATCACGAAGCTGACCAGCAAGAAACGACGACGACGAGCACGGAACCCCGTTCTAAGTCGCTTGGATCGGAGACCTCTTCGGAAATTTCGTCCAAGGAATCCAGCGACAACAATTCCAGCTCGAGCTCTGACTCGCTGCCGTCAACTTCCAGCTCCGTCCCAGATCTCACCAACCGTCCCGCCCGACGCCTCGCAGACGACAACTTTCCTTTCAGCATCACTGCGGGGGTTGAGAAAGGCGCGAAGAACCGGTAGGATTCTGAAGTGCGATCCAAACGGTCCGCTGATCGCCTGCAGATACCGCAACATATGGCCGTTTGAGCATGCGCGGGTGAAGCTACACGCGGACGGTGGTTGGCAGGGCCCCGATCCCCCAAAATTGACCTCGCTTGATCTGCTGGATGCGCAGCCTATCGCCCATGACGACTATGTGAATGCCTCTTACGTCCAACCGCTCGGCACACACCGTCGGTATATTGCCACGCAAGGACCTTTGGATGCCACGTTTGGCGATTTTTGGACGTGCGTGTTTCTATCTGTTTGTGTGCGATGTGTCCCAACCTCCATTTGTAGACTGGTCTGGCAACAAAATGTCCACGTGATTGTGATGCTGACCCGGGAAGTCGAGGGTGCAGTCGTGAGTACAAGAAGTGCGAACACGAGGCGCCCGATTGACAGTCCTGCAGGTCAAATGTGGCGCTTACTGGATGCCTGGTGTCTACGGCTCGCTGAAAGTCGAGCTTCTGGGTTGCGGAGCACCGGCCTGCACGGACATCTGTTCTTCCTGTGCCTTTGACTCGGGCGAACGACCGGAGACCACTGGCTTCTTTGGCAATATGGCAGCCAAAACGCAGACGACCGAGGCACCGCTTCTCATCAAGCGCACCCTTCGATTGACCCATGCTGCTTACCCGCACGCACCTCCGCGACGAGTCGTGCAGCTGCAATACCGAGGCTGGCCGGACATGAATGTTCCAGAAGAAACGCACGGTGTTTTGGGACTGGTCGGAGAAGTAGACAAGGCTGTCGACGAGGCCGGCAAGAGTGCACTGCCACGGAACTCTGTGAAACACCGGGCTCGAGTCGAAAGCGATGGTGACGATGTGGATGCCACTGCGGGTGTCGTAAACCGAGCATTGCGCGATGGCGCGGAGGGTGCTCCTGTTCTGCTGCATTGCAGTGCTGGAGTCGGACGGACTGGAGGGTTCATCGCCATCCACGCTGTTCTCGATTCGCTGCGACAGGAGGCCAGATCACTGTTCGCCTCTGGACAGCAGATTTCTCCCGTGCCCGGTCACAGGCAGAGCAGCGGCAGCGACACCCAGTCTACCAGCAGCACGGGACCTTTGCCCAGCGAAATCGGTCGTCTGGCTGTCGCCGACAGTGACGGCATGGAAGTGGACTCGGAAAACGTCGCCGACGGAAGAACACCGATGCAAGTCGACGGTGTGGACATGACTCTTGGTGCAGAAGTCACCAAGCGCTGGGCCCAGGGAGTGGCGGACACTCAGCCCAGCTCACTTCCCTCAGCATCCATCTTTCCGGCTCCGGAAACGACTTCATTTCGTTCGAGCACCTCTTTAGAACCTCTGTCCCGAGATTCATCTCCATTCTTGTCGGCGCCCCGCACTGCGCTCCCCCTGTTTTTGCGTCGTGGCAACGCAGACCGGCCGCGTACGTTCTCCGCGCCGTCGGCGGCTACACCAGTGCACAAAAACGTAGCCAAGGTGCTTGACCGATCGCTTGTCAATTCGCCAGTTCCAGATTCGCGTTCGATGTCGCCATTTGCTCCTGGCCAGTCCAGTCTCCGATCGTTCAAGAGCGTGGAAAATATGTTGCCCACTGCGCCCAATGTTGACTACAAGGAGCCGCGCTCGCTGCACTTGCGTGGTGGAAAGGGCCCCGTTCGGCTCAGTACGCTGGAGGAGCCCATCTGGGAGGTCATACAGGACATGCGCGAGCAGCGGATGAGCCTGTGCCAGAGCCTGCGTCAATATGTGTTCGTACACGCTGCCATCATCGAAGGCGCTTTGATGGTCATTGACCAAGAACGTGCTCGGGCTGGCTTGAGGTCGCGCCCAGCTGCTCTTAGTCTCTCGCCGCCGCCGAGAAGAACGTTGAATCGACCGCCGAGATTGGTTCTCCTGCCAGGGCATCTGCACAGTCCCTCGTCGACCGGCAAGCGGCTGGCAAGTCCCACCGAACTTCCCAAGGAGAACAAGAAGGGAGAAATCGCTCTGTCCAAGCGGCCCAGCATCAAGAGGAAGCAGGTCAGCGGCGACGATTTCCCTCCTCATCTTTTCCCGCCTCCGTAATGGAGAGGGCGCGCGCTTTCTCTTGCTTTGCCGACTAATTCAGTAATACTCCTACATCGCATACTCTACACTGTTGTTACAACCTAGCCATCACCCCATTTGACTGCTCAGCCCTTCGGGCTTGTATTTTTACTCGCTGTATCATTACAATACACAAATCGATCTCTTTAAACGAAATTTCGCAGTGAGCGGCGAAAAACTTTCCACGCCATGAATTGATCAAATCTTGATGAGACTGAGTATTACCAACGCCTAGCTTCAAAGGTGATACAACATACTGATAGACAAGTAGCCTTGGTACGGGGTTCTACTATTACTTAGATATACATAATCGCAGCTCAGGTAGAAGGGTTGACGGCGATATAGCCCCCATCAATGACAATCTCTTGACCATTGGTGTAGCAGCCAGCGAGGCTGCCGAGATAGATGATCGTGCCGGCCATTTCTTTCGCCCTGTGCGTGTGTTGAGAAAGCAGAACATTTGCACGTGACACCACTCACGTTCCGGCTCGGCGGGCCGGCACTGATGCGAGACCTTTGCCGATCTTATCGACCTCTTCAGGCGAGATATCGGCCTGCGTCATCTCCGAGGCATAGACTCCAGGTGCGACTGCGTTCACGCGCACCTGCGCGCCTTTCAAGGCATACTCGGTGGACATCATGCGCGTCAAGTGCGCAGCGGCAGCCTTGGCGCTGTTGTAAGCGAACTACGGACACCTCAGCTTGGGCGATAGGACATTCGGATGCACGCATATACTCACATGATCCTGCGCGAGCTTGATGACGCCGGAGATGCTGGTGATGTTCACGACGCTCGAGGTGAATCCTGGGCGTCCTGATTCCTGGGTGCCCTGGTGCAGTAGACCCAGGAATGCGTTGGTCACGAAGAAGATCGAGAATGTGTTGATGGTGTAGATGTCAGACCATGCCGCGAAGGTTTCGTTGTCGAAGAGCGCTTGGCCTAGTGTCTCCGGATCTTTGCGTTCGGGGGCAGATGGGTCATTCATGAAAGGTGACGTCGGGCCGACTTGTCCAGCACTGAGATTCAAGTGAGCCTTCACCGCGTACTTTTTATCGTGTGTGATACGCACTTGTTTACGAGGATGTGCAACTTTCCCTCTTTCTCCTGCAACACCTTCTTGGCTGCCATGATACTCTCCCTGCTGATCACATCCATCTGGATCCTGGGATTGCGAGGTCAACAGCATCCCGGACTGAAGAGCGACTGGATCGGACGCACGCGACCATCTCGCTCGTCTGCTTCTCGTTCCATGCACCGACAACCTTGTCCAGCACCTCTTTGCGTCGCCCTGTGATATACACCTTGGCGCCCGCACTAGCGAGCCCCTGCGCAATCATGAGCCCGATGCCCGTTCCGCCGCCTGTGACGAGCGCGACGAGGCCCGTCAGGTCGTAGATGCTTTGGAGAGCAGAAGCTGACATGGTCCTGGTAATTCGCAGATGGATGGATCAAGAAGAATTGCTCGAGATCTCAGGACTTATAATCCGGTTATGTTCGGTCCGTGGTCCGCCTCAACCTGTATGCACAACAGTGGTTGATGCTTGATCCACTTGGAGTATTTCGGCAGTCCAGGCAGGAAATGCGGGTGAAGATGTCTGGGAGCCGCGACATCGAAGGTTGTGGAGACGTGGAGTGTGTGGAGCAGGAAGAGGAGTGTGTTACTGCAAGAAAACAGAAACTGAGGCGGGCCGGTTCTACTGGGCATGTGATGCTCACGGTAACGTGTATCCGAGCTTGTACCTTGTACAACAGTCAATCCATTCTACTCGAGTAGACTGTATGAAACGGAGCGTGCGCCACGCTCTACCTGTAGGAACTGAGGATGGGCGCGTAGTTGACGCGGGTTGTACGCGAGGATTGGAGATGTCACGCGCACGATGACGTCGGGTAATCACAACCGCGTCCGAGTCATCGTATCGGGCAATCGAACTCTCTGCAGGCTTCACCCACGTCCAGCGCCTGGTATGTTCCTGTCCCGCTCTGCACGACTCAGTCTGCGATTGCAAACCAAAGGGTGCGCCTCATCAGTGACCTCATCTTTCTCGCGTCACCTCACCTTGGCTCTATTAAAACCCTTGCACCGCTCCTCCGCCACTAGTTTCAACCGTACCCACAGAAATATGAGCACCACATCGAACCTTCTGGACTACAGCTCGAATGTGACCGCAGGACTCTCGCGAGTTACGGAGGGTATCTTGACCTCCGGACAAGGATCCTATGTGCAGTACGACAATGGCCGCAAAATGTTGGACTTCAGCTGTGGGATCGGTGTCACTAACCTGGGTGAGCCAGTGCAATCAGACCATCGAGTTATCTGCTCAAACACAGGGAACAGGCCACTGTCATCCCAAGGTCAGCAAAGCCGCCGCCGACCAATGCATGAACGTTGTACATGTGCAGGTACGACTGCCGGTGAACCATCTCTTTGTGTCGACCCTATGAACGATTGTAGTGCAGCATCGCGTTCCACGAGCACTACCTCCGCCTCGTCCAAAAACTACTGCCTCTGATGCCCGATCCGTCGCTTGACTCGTTCTTCTTCTGGAACTCAGGATCTGAGGCGGTCGAGGCCGCCATCAAAGTAGCTCGGATGGTCACAGCACGCCAGAATATCATCTGCATGCAAGGTGCTTATCACGGACGTACATTCGGTGCAATGGCGGTGACTCGGAGCAAGACCATCTACTCGAAAGGAGTCCTGCCTGTCATGGTAAAGTTCATCACTCCATTCTAGCGCATCGTATCGTAACCCGTTAATACAGCCGGGTGTATTCACCATGCCTTATCCGTTCTGGCATCAGCTGGGACAGCCCTCCGACAAACCTGAATCGGAGCTCGTATCTCAGTGTCTTTACCAGCTCGATCTCCTCCTCCAGCAGCAGACCGCGCCGACGGATACCGCGGCTATCATCATCGAGCCAGTCCTGGGCGAGGGAGGCTATGTGCCGGCCCCCGCATCTTTCTTACGCGGACTGCGAGAAGTATGCGACAAGCATGGCATCATGCTCATCATCGACGAGGTGCAGAGCGGATTCGCGCGCACAGGCACCTTCTTCGCGATCGAAGGGAGTGGTGTCCGACCGGATATCATGATCATGGCCAAGGGTCTGGCTAACGGATTCCCGCTGAGCGGCATCGTGAGCAGGAAAGAGGTCATGGACAAGATGCCGGTTGGCTCCATGGGTGGAACGTACGCTGGAAATGCCGTCTCTTGTGCCGCAGCATGCGCTGTTGTGGACGTAATGCAGGAGGAAAATATCCTGGCGAATGTGAACGCTCGGTCAGTAACGGCCTTCAAACCAGCCGACTCGATTGACCAATATATATCAGTTCGTCCGAACTTTTCGCGGCACTCGACGATGTCAAAGCAGCTAACCCGTCGACTGTCCTGGACGTCCGTGGCCGAGGGCTCATGGTCGCAGTCGAATTCGAAGGCAAGGGAATGGCTGCCCGGGTGGCCAAGAAGTGCATCGAAAAAGGAATGATCCTCCTCACGACCAGTGTCTACGAAGTCGTGCGGTTCATTCCGCCGTTGAACATTTCCAAGGAAGATCTAGCCAAGGGTGCAGCAATCTTCAAGGATGCAGTCGACGAAGCGGTGAAGGAGGCGTGAGGGATTAGGGATTGAACTCATACATGCTGTATGATACCAAACGGAAATTATTCGAGGATTTGTTTGCAAAACTACCACTCAGCGGTTCAACTCGATGTTGCTTTGCGCTGGTCATTCGAGCGGCCTTTAGTCCAGTGCTTAGATTCCCATGTCGCACTTGAGCTGATCAACAAGCCAGATGCAATGTGCGAAACACGACTGGAAACACGGCAGAATTGGGAAGTTCAACGGCGCAGCGAGCGGGCACAACGATGAAGGTGGGAGCTCAAGTGAGGGTCGTAAGAACTCACGCTGCTGAGGTCCCGCGTAATGATTAGCGTCCTGCCTGGGACAATAATATCATTGTGATATCGAGAGTTACCTGCATACACCAAGGTCTACGACTGAGTGTCAAATACATATCGGCGTTGACGTGAAGTGGGTCCCTCGTGGGTAACTTGCGGATTTTGCGTTGTGCGTGTTGCCAGAGGAAGGCATAGGAAGCAGACGAGACCATTTGATGTCGACGATACGAGGGTTCAAAGCCTGGTCCTTTAAAAATTCTCCGTACCGATATGTAAATCCCCACACCTCTCTCTACATCGTTTTCAGACGGTCGAGATTGTCGCGCCGATTTTCGGGAGCGAGACAATGACGAAGGGTGGATTCTTCAGGATATGGTTCGGAGACAATGGTGTCGCAGCCACGGTAATTGTGCTTGAGGTCCCTATCGTGAGCACCCGGTGGGACAATAATTGTCGCAATGCCGTCGGGAGGAGCGTCAATACAAGACGCAGAGAATGAGTGGGTCACAGTGGCAGGAGCATTTATCGGAATTTGAATTTTCTCGAAGGTTATTTTGATCGCGATGGGTTTCGCTCTCCCACATCGTTTTCGTGCAGACTCCCGTCCTCTCCGTCTATCTTCTCTCTCTGCTACAGTGGCGGATGCAAATCACGAATTAATTGCGCAGAGAAAGACCAGTGAAACACTCTCCTTCAAAACGAACGAGCGCCTTCGAGCCCAGATCTACTTGTGAGAGGATAGCAGTGAGGATGGGGACAGAGGCATCCGTCTGAGGAGATTCAATTGGAGGAGACCTCACTGAAATGATGCCTCAAGATTTCTTCGCCAAAGAGCTTGGGATTGGGTCCCAAGTGCAAGTCGTCGTCTCAAGGTGCGTCAAAGTCGTGTCTGCAATTCATGCAGTTTATTGAGCTCGTTCCACAGTTCGTCGCCTCATGAAGCTCCTGAATTTCGAGACGAGGCATTTCTTCTTGCACGCTGTCCTACCTTTCTCTGTTTCGTTATGTCGGAGAACTTGATCGAACACTGGATTCTGAGCTTCTGACTTCAGACAACAGGGCGTCGCGTTGCTCAGATATCTTGCTTGGCGGTCTTGCGGCTTCTAGTAATTCTCAAGAGGCGCTGGTCGTGAACTTGTCGAAACTGGGTGCAAGCTATCGTCGGCAGTGGGCGATATCTTCATTGTAACTTGGTGCTGGAAGCTGGCGGCAAGTGCTGAATCGGTCGCGAACTGGTCCCACTCAAAGCCCAAATTTCATGGACTCTTGTCTATGGATCACGCAAACCCGTTTGTTCTGTGCAACTGGTGACTTGTGAGTAGCAAGCAGAGCAAGCATCTGGTGACATCACGCGTCACTCACCGTCACATGGTGATTGCTGGCCGGCAAGGAACGAGCGAAGGAGAGCGCAAGACACCGCGGATTCAGATTGCGCCAAGAGTTGTGGTACCCAGGAGGAGTTGTATGTGTGCTTGCGGTACCCGATACATGAAGAAGATGAAGGTGGCGCGTGCTTCCAGTTACCGATCGACATCCATTCCAGTCATCCGGGAGCAATTTGGTGGACCAGACAGACGAACTTCAAAGCCAACAGCGTGAACCACCATCCATTTTCGAGGACAGAAGGTTGATTCAGGTGTGCCCGCCATTAGGACGAATTGAGCAAATATACTCCAAATTCCATCCCAATTCTGGTGGCTTCGGCGGACAGTCACCTACAACAGCGTCGTCGGCCGGTCCCCAGCGTCTTCTGCGTCATCTTATCTGAGATTGATGCAGGTGCTTGCGTGTTTTCTCACTCAGGGCGAAGGAAGCAGGAGACAGGCTCGCATCATGATAAAAATGAAGCTTTCCAATTCCGCATTGATGCCGTACTTGGAAAAGGGTATAAAAACTGTTTTCCTGCGAAATTCTCTCTCCTCCTCCTCTCCTCCTAACCACTCGACATGTCTGCGTCCCCTCCGTTGCCTTCGTTCTCTTTCGTCATCCACCAAGCTCATCCAACCATGGCCTTCCTTACTATCAATCACAATCATCTCGACTTGTACGATTTCCCTTCGAACCAGGCGGCACCGACCGCTCCGCAGCCTCAGGTCATTAGTCGACGCTTTCTTCGGTGATGCATCTGACGCTAACATTTCCAGCTCCCTTTGGCTGTTGCAAACACGCCTCAGCTCAACCAATCCGCCAATGGCGCGCAGCAGCAGCAGCAGCTCGTAGACTGCCCGGTTTCGCGTTCGTCGCGCGCGAAGACAGCCATGAAGGTATGCACTGAAGATCTAATGTTCGCAGCTTATGTCTCATACTTCGCAAGCGCGTCTTGCGGCGCGTCGCCGTCTACATCCGGAACCATCTCACTTGAATCTGACCCGCGCGCCCACATCCTAATCGTTTCCAGTCTTTCTTGGCCTTATCGTATGTCCGTCCGTTTGCTTTGGTTTTTTGGCTTCCACTTCATCGCTATCACACACACACACATCCTTACCTGAATACAAATGTAATTGTACATGTACATATGTTTCTAGACGTGTTTTTGTTTCCCAGTCCATGCGCACATAACCTCTGCATTGTGTGAGATGTACAGGATCACACATCTATAGGGTCGACGCGTAAGTGGGTGGTATAGAATGCATTGGTGTCAGTAAGTGTAGAAATAGATTAGTGGCCGTAACTGGTAAGGAATGTGAGTCCGGTGGGCCTACCTGACGTAGTCCCGCCCACAGACAAGAAGTGCTAGGCGAAAATAGCAACAAGAATAATGAACGGAATGTATGTCACGAAGGAGACCACTGCCATGATGCGAGATCTCTTCCGCCACGTTCTTGCGTCTGAGAATGCGATCAGGTCCAGCAACAACCAGAATGGAAGAGGCTCACCAAACTCAAGTTGAGGATCGTCAAGAATGACATCCTTCCCCCCTTCTCCAATGCGACGCGTCCGAACCACCGGAATGAAAGCGGCAACCCACCATATCGGGAAGATAACAAAGCCGATAAAGAAGAGCCAAGCATGCAACGGGCTACCTCCAGCTTCCGTCCAATGACGCCAGCGGTCCGCTTTTTCCGCACGCCAGTTTATCTCACCCCAAGAAAGGGCCCACGCCGTCGGCTGGATTCGCGGAGGCTTGTGGGGATCCCGCATGTGGTACGCTCCGCCAGATCTAGCCACGGATGGCGCGTGCGGAGAAATGAGTGCAGATAATGGTATGGAAGCCTGAGATAAGCTGCGTCGGGACGGCGCCCTATGCGAAGACGCGCCGCCGGCAGTCTGCGCATGGGATTGAACCGACTGGGATCGAGAAAGAGGTCGCGCAGCGCCTGTGGATCGTCGACTAGGCCAGCTGCCATGCTGGTCTGTTTCCTGGTAGGCTAAAGATCGGGAGAGTGACGGAGATTCTGAGGACGCGGAAAGACGCGCCCGTTTTTGACGGTGGTAGGAAGATGGAGCGTGGCCAGATGTTGTCGTTGTCGCGTTCGATGGACGAACGGCTGACGAAAAAAAATCAGGGAGTTAGTTCCGTGAGTCCATTGAGACGCGTACGACGAGGTCCAACAGCGAAAGTTGCTCGTTGTTCACGCTCTTTCTTCGCTTCCGGAGGCGTGGTGTCCACTTCATCTGCTTTGCGTTTGCCCTTCGCTCGCGGGGTCTCAGCTGGAATAAAGCCCGGGGTCGATGTCGATTGTATGGACGCTGGCGTCGTTACTTGAGCAGATGGTGAGATCGACCGTTGAGCAGTGGCCATGAAGGCGGAAACCACTTTACGACGGCGGGCTGTAGCTTGATGGGATCAGCCAAACAACCGAGTCGGAGCAAACACATCAACACCCACTTTCCCAAAAAGCGCCTCAACGTAGTCGCGTCAATCGTCGCGTCCCGTGCGCCACCACGAACGCGGTGACCATGACTAGAAGCACTCGATCCTCGGACAAGCAGCAGGTGGATTTGAAAAAGCGGAAGCGCATATCTGATGGGGCGGACGAGCCAGCAAATAAACACCAGCGAACCGATATTCCTGCGTATGCCGCGAAACAACCCATCAGCTCAGAGGAGGCGGGCAAAATATTGGATGTTCTCCAGCAGTATGTCCTTCTGAGCCGGGTATCATCCCCAAATGGCTGTTTGTTGATGAGGTCCTAGCATCGACTCGCAAGGGCTCCTTGATCGTGTCTATCCTCTCGATTCCACCAGTCCATCTTCCACGAGCTCCAACACCTACTCCCTTCGGACACTCCTGTCGAACTCCCAGGACTACAGCCTCGCCACATTGAAGACTGCCGTCCAAAATCTTCTTCCCATATCCATACAACCTCGAGTCCCCCCGCCGCCCACCGCCGCTCAGCAGCAACGGTTTTGCGACCTCGCATTCTCTCTTCTCGACCAAGCATCGTTTAGACCTGTCTCCCTCGAGGAGCAATCCCTTCTCCCCGAGGAACAGCCTGGAGAGTCGAGTGCCAAACCCGTCGGGACGACCAGTAAACAATATGCATTGTTACAGCATCTGCCTGGCGGCGACTACTGGTCCTCGCTGGCGAATGACGGTGTGGACCCACGGGACCTGGCAACAGGACATGCGGAGCTTGTAGCGCTTTTTCCCGCCCCAGTGGACACCACCACTCCTGTCGCCAAACTTGGCGCCTATGTCAATATCCGCAACAACGTCCCCTCCCGCGTGCGAAAGCCGGGCATCAAAGTCGCCACGAGCGGGGCATTCCTTGACTACGGGCCTTACGGCAGTTTCGCTCCTGTGTGGGTGCAGGAGGGGCGGGAGATTGGGATGAGGCAGACCGCCGAGGTGTATGCGCAGCGCGCGCAACGATACCGTGAGAAGCTGCTTGCTCGGCAGCGGATAGCTGGAACTACGCAGCCGAATCTTGTTGAAACGACGGAGAAAGAAGGGGTGGGGAATAGGACGACGCCAGAAGAAGAAGCCGATGATGATGACATGCCCACCGTGGAGGAACAGAAAGAGGAGCAGCCGACAGCATCGAATGCAGTGGACGAAATGGAGGATATTCTCTCGTCGGACCAGATCGCGTCATTGAAGTCCTTGCTTTCTGACCTGGAACTTGAGAACCAGGTTCAAGAGCTGCTCGTTCGTAACCGTCGGGCGTTACAGCGATTGGGACAACTTCAAGTCGATCGCTTGCGGGAGGGACGGACTGCGGAATCGTTGTCTGAAGGCGACGAGGAGCTGGAGCTTGGAAAGTGCTTTCTTTCCATTCATTGACTAGCTGAATAACAAAGTTACCCTCAGCCACGCAAATCCTCGAGTCTCTTACACTGCTTACTTCACTGCGACCCCGAAGTTCATCCGAATCCCAATCCGAATCTGATATCATCCCACCACCCAAGACGCTTCATCGACTGATGCAAACCCTTCCCCGAATAGAATCGCATGGATGGCGAGGCACACTTCCCGATCGAACACCAGGGCCGATCCCAGCGGCTCTGCACGATGATTCCACAGTCAAAGTCCGACCCGGTGTGCCGGCTGTTGCGCCTGCGCCTGCAGCTGTGCCACAATACAGCGGATACTATCCTACGCAGGCTGGGGCGGCACCGTATCGGTACAACGGCACAGCATACACCCCGGCGGCGTATGCGGCGACGCCAAATGGTGTGCGCACACCCGTCCAGGGCCAGCACTATTACCCTTCCCAGGCCACGACGGTCCCATATGGGTACCCCGCTGGCTCTGGATGGTACGGCAATTATGTCCCGGCTCAGCCGCAGCAGACGGCGTCGTACAGCTCGTTCTTTGGAGGCGCTACGATGATGACTGGCACTCCGACGGGCACTCCGGCACCTGCAGGAAAGGCCGTCGCCAATACGGTGCTTGGCAAAAGTGTGTACGCCAACTATGGACAAGGGCAATTCGCGTATGCCGGAGCTGCTGGAACTCAAGCGACTCCTGTTCTTCCCTCCCATCTGCGCTCTGCAGTGTACCAGCCAGGGATGCAGACACCCGGATGATGCACCCGCCCTAATATGAATTGTACTGTACTAATTCGCCTAGTGTACACATTGTACAGCCCAGAGCACTTGGGAGAACTCCAAGTTGTTTACATACAGCATTTTATTTTGACTTATAGTATTTAGGCAATCACAAAGAACATATTAGTGAAATTGATTTGCAGAGAAAGGTAGGCACAGAGAGCGGTGGTCAATTTAGCATATCAGTATCAACCATTGCAGGTATCAATCAAAAGCGAGATGGCGATTCGCGCCGTCGCTCAGCCTCCCACCGCGCCCGCATCAGCTGGAAACCCTCCGACCTTGCTCGGATTGCTGGTGTGGGAACGAGCATTCGCAACTGCGCCTCGTTCGCGAGTTCGGAATCGCTCCGGATGACCTAGCGACCATCGTCAGCGTGCTACCGGCGAAACAGAGGGCGATAGGCGTACGGATCCAATAGCGAGGAAGAAGGAAAATGTTGCTGCGCTGCTCAGCATCGTTTTGGAAAGTGTGGAAAGAACGCCACGGGGTCCAGCGCCATGTCTGCACAAAAACGCGTCAATCCATGTCAATTAGCGCGGTGCGGATGGCTACGCACTGCAAAATGCTCCAACCGCCGAACAGGAACCCAATGGTAAGACCGACACCTCCGCCCATCATCGCACCCATTCTGCACGACGAGAGGTCATTTTTGCAGGTACGCGAAAGGATAACTTGGGAACATACTTGACTGTACTTGGAGATTAGTAAAAGCTAGGAAAATAGGGCGTGCGGTAATAGCATACGTTTCGTCCAGACCGTAGGTTCTGACATCCTTGTCCCGACTCTTGTGACTGTAACAGTTGTGGTAAAGTGCGCCGAACGGAGGAGCAAGACTGTCTGTCTGTTTGGCTTAGTCAGCCGTAGGATGATGAGCACCGCCACATAGATTCGATAGTTTGAACATTGAACATAGAGCAGTGTACATGAAAGACTAGGTTTACCCTCCAGATCTACCTGAGCCCGTTTACAGGTAAAAAAAAAAAGATGAAATTGGTCAAGTATCAACGGAACCGCTGTAAGATCGATGGAACTTGCTCATCAGCATGGACTCGCACCACAAAGATAGAGTCTTTGCGAGTCCGTGAGGTGAAGTCTTTGGAAAGTGGAATCCGAGGTTCAGTAACGCTTAAATGAGGTGTCAGAAAAATCATCCAACTCTGCCAAGTATATATGCCCTTAGCGGTGTCGGTTGATCGAGATGTTTCCAAGAACCTGAGGGGGATTGACTGATGCATCTTCAGGTTCTTGGGTTTGAATGAGAGGTTGCCTCCAAAATCAATAAGATCTATGGTAGGATAACTCAAATAACTCGGGTGATTTGTACGTGGTCTGCAAAGGAGAGAAAGAATAAGAGATGGGGCGCAATCGCATTGGCGTCTAGCTCGATCTCCTCTGATAGGCTTTTCCCCAAAAACATCTCAAATAAAATAATAAAATTTAAATAGTAAAAAGCGCCTTGCCGAATTGAACCACTTACATAGCTCGAATGACGTCAATCAGTAGGAGAATAGGCACACCGTAAACACAGTTTGTCATCACCACAGTTGTCCACTATGTCCAGTGGCAGCCAGACCACTCCCTCGTTCCCTCAGGCCCAACAGGCTCAAATCAGTACGCAGAAGCTTCCAGCGTCTTCTCTTTCCTTAAGACTCGCCTTCTAGTCAGAGCTAACCAACGCGACCTGTATCACATCGCCTCGCTCAAGGAACAGTTCGAAGCTACTCTTCGCTCTTGGCTTGGTTCGCGATCCACGCTCCACGACTATCAAGTATATTCTGAGCTCGACACCAGGGACGCGTTGGCTGAGTCGATGGGACAAAGAAGTGGACCTGCTGGTCAAACTAGGCTATTATGGGCTCACCACTGCTCGAGGTGAACTGTTCTCGGGCAACTGTGCTGGAAGAATTCTGACTTATAAGAAAAGCTACTCAGACTCTTGGTGAAGAGTACACCGATATCTGGCAGCATTCCGCGCTCTACGACAGCGTTCCTCCGCCGTTACTGATTCGAGGAGCGCTCGTCTTACTCCCCACACTTCCGCCATATCTGCTAGCCCGACTGGACGAATTTTTCCCCAGCTACGGCCCTCCTACAGCATTACGGAGACTCTTGAAGAGGATACCGATAGTCTTCGAGACAGTCGCCGAGCTCAACCTGGCCATCTTCTACATTTGGGGAACTTATTACGACGTTGTCAAACGCATTTTGGGCGTGAAGAAGGTTTGTCTCGGGGCTTCGGGTATTAGATCAATCTAAAGCCGGATCCGTAGATCGCAGGGACGCCTCCCAATCCTCATATCCGACCTCCTTCATATTCCTTGCTTGGGATTCTTCTGGGCGTCCGCATCCTCCACAAACTAATAACGTTATACAAGAAGACCGCAGGCTCCGAGTCGTCAGAGGACCTGAAAGGGAAACAGCGCGACTACAATATGGGCCAGGAGGCGTTCCTTGATGACCGACCCATCACCATGTTCCTGGGACCCGTAGATCCTGAGGGTGAGCCGGCTAAGCCTGCTGAAGAAGATGAGCGAACGATGCTCGACGTGGTATCGATTTCCGAAGCCGGAAGAGCTGCGCGGAATTGCACATTATGTCTGGAAGAGCGGACGGATAGCTGCGCGACTGAGTGCGGGCATCTTTTTTGTTGGAGCTGTATCGTGGGCTGGGGCCGGGAAAAGGTGCGTCTCTGTTCGGTGTAATGGACAACAAGATGATCTCATGGGATTACAACACAGGCCGAATGCCCGCTCTGTAGGCAGTCGCTCAACTTGACGCGGCTGCTTCCCATATACAATCTGTGATCTGATTTACATTACAAGGTCGATAGAAGCTCGGTGTCGCCTTGATCGCGCGGCTTGAGCAGGTGTCGTGACACTTTTTCATACATACAGACTGAGATCATTCGACCTGTTGTATCAGGGTGATGTTATCGCCCTTGAGGAGGATGCGACCTACAGGACATACGAGCCGATCAGTGTGGTCAGACAACTCTTTGAAGGACGGACGCACCGAGTTCTCGCCTGGGCTTTGCGTCCTTCACATACACCTCAGCAGCCTCGTCAATCACGACGTTCATGAACTCGTCAAATCCCTAGAAATAATAACGCGTCAGCATTGCTTCATTCGCACAGAACACACAGAACAATGGGGAGAAGGGGAGCTCTGATACAGTGCACAGCGAATGGAGCTCGACTGGAGAACGCGTCCTAGATTCGGCGGCAGGCAAAAGAGTGGGACGAAACGCACGATGATTCGTCCCTCGATCCGCATCTCGATGTTGTCGTACAGCCAGATTGAAATTTTCGTTCGCTATAGGATAGTCCGTTCAATGACTTGCGCATCAGAGAGTAACTGGGTACGAGCGTACTTGTTGCAGATTTTTGAAGATCACATTCTGAGTGGGCGGTCAGTATTCGTCTGCCTCGAGTCCAAGAACACGTACGATGGGCTGAACCATCACACGCTGCTGACGACCGGACATGTTGGAGATAAGGAAATGGAAAAGAAAGAGAGTTGACGGCGGTTGGAGAACTAAACGAAGTAGTGTTTAGCAGAGGTGTGAGGCACGTGCTTGCCTCCTCGACAACGGAAGCCAAAATAACTTTGGGCTTGACCGACGCGTCAACACCAACCACCATGGAGGTCTGCTATCCGATTTCTCCTCTTATTCAGCTATTCGCTGCTCATCCCATCTTAGGCCTTCGCGCCTTCCAATTCATCGACGGCGGCGGCCGTCACGTTCATAACATTTGTGCAGGATTTGAAGAAGAAGACGAAGACATGGGGGCCAATGATAGAGCTTTGCGAGAACGGGGAGAAGACATTGCATAGATTCCGGTATCAGTTTCCGGATGACTGGCTCTACAGCGACCAGCTGCGTGGCGAATGGAGTGCGTACAACGAGATCCTCAAGAGGAAGAACGATTCAATCCAGGAGCAACTCGGTGCGTCTCTTCTTGTTTTACGTCTCTCATGCCATTCAATCTTGCCGTCGGCCAGCCGGTCTCCAGCTCAAGATTGTCGCCGAGGACAAGATCATCGAGAACAAGATCAATGACATTATTCAGGAGTGGGAGCAGACCCGACCTGTACAAGGCAGCTTACGCGCCGACACGGCGCTCAACACCATCAATGTCTTCGAAGGCAAACTCAACCGAGTCCAGGGGGAGTACGACCTGGTCTGCCGAGCGAAAGAGGCGCTTGAGCTTGAACTAACGCGGCACACGCGTCTGGAGCCGGTGTTCGAGGAGCTCAAAGATCTCAAGGGCGTGTGGACCGCGCTTTCCGGAATTTGGAGCCAGATTGGAGAGCTGCGGGAGCTGTCATGGGCGACTGTCCAACCGAGGAAGCTGAGGCAGCAGATCGACGCGTTGCTCAACTCGACGAAGGATATGCCAACACGCATGAGACAATACGCGGCTTTCGAATACGTGCAGGATGTGTTGAAGGGGCTCCTCAAGTCTAATGCTCTCGTGTCGGAGCTGCAATCTGAGGCGATGAAGGACCGACACTGGAAACAGCTATTCAAGTCACTACGGCTCCCAGCCGCGATACCTCTACCACTGTAAGTCTTCAGTTCACCTTCTCGTACGAGGATACACAAACGCCTGCTCTTAGCATGACACTTGGTCATGTATACGATCTCGACCTCAAGAAGAACGAAAGCTTGATTAGGGAAGTGATTGTCCAAGCTCAAGGAGAGGTCCGTTCCATTTCTTACTGCTCCCTCGCAGCCGCTGATTGACGCTACAGATGGCGCTCGAAGAATATATCAAGCAAGTCAAGGAGACTTGGACTAGCTACACACTCGACTTGGTCAACTATCAGACGAAATGCCGTCTCATCAGGTTCGCGTTTGTGTGTGATGGCCGATCCCATTCTAAATCATCATTGCAGAGGTTGGGATGATCTATTTGCGAAATGCAGCGAGAATTTGAACTCGTTAACGGCGATGAAATTATCACCGTACTATAAAGGTTAGTTCTTTTCGTGCTTCGCTGTGATTGACACTCAAGCATCCTTTCAGTGTTCGAGGAAGAGGTATGAAACGACTTTGCGCGCTAGACTGGTGGATCTGATGTCCCTCATAGGCAGCATCCTGGGAAGAAAAGTTGAACAGGATTCATGTGCTGTTTGGTAGATTCACCGGTCTTCTTAATTTTCCCTCTCTGACGCGCGGTTTCAGATGTGTGGATTGATGTGCAGAGACAATGGGTTTACCTCGAGGGCATCTTTTCCGGCAGTGCCGACATCAAGCACCTGCTACCAGTCGAGAGCGGACGGTTCCAGAACATCAATGCTGAGTTCTTGACCGTGATGAAGAAGGTGTACAAGTCACCCTTCGTACTTGATGTTCTGAACATCCAGGGAGTCCAGAAGAGCTTGGAGCGTCTGGCCGACCTGCTGAACAAGATTCAGAAAGCCCTTGGAGAGTACCTGGAACGCGAGCGATCGTCATTCCCGCGGTTCTACTTTGTCGGAGACGAGGATCTGCTTGAGATCATCGGAAACAGCAAGGATATTCTGCGAATCATGAAACACTTGAAGAAGATGTTTGCCGGAATTTCGACAGTCAGCTTGGACGACGATCTGACCCAAATGCAAGGGATGGCTTCAAGAGAGGGCGAGCAAGTGCCTTTTACGACACCCATTCTACTGTCGGAGTATCCCAAGATTAACGACTGGCTGGCGAGGATCGAGACAATGATGCGGCTTTCGCTCGCGAATCTGCTCTCGGAAGGTGTCTCCGAGTTGCAGGCGTTTTATGGAACCGGCTCGGCGCTTCCGATGGAGCAGTTCATGCAGTGGATGGAGAAATACCCTGCGCAGCTCGTGACGTTGGCGGTCCAGGTCGCGTGGACAGGCGCTGTTGAGGCTTCCCTGGATGCAGGCAAGACGCCCGAAGAACCGCTGCAAACCGTCACCCAGGCACTGGACCTGCTCGCCGATATCGTGCTCCAAGATCTCATCCCCGTCACTCGACGCAAATGCGAACACCTTATCACGGAACTCGTGCACCAGCGTGATGTCACAAGGACGCTCATCTCCGAGCATGTTCTTGACAGCAAGAGCTTTGTGTGGCTGTACCAGATGCGATTCTACCTCGACAAGGCTGTGGAGAACCCGCTGGACCGCCTGACGATCCGAGTGGCCGATGCCAGCTTCCCCTACGGCTGGGAATATCTCGGTGTACCTGACCGGCTTGTCCAAACGCCTCTGACGGACCGAGTGTATCTCACGCTGACACAAGCGCTGGATAATCAGCTTGGTGGTGCTCCCTTTGGACCTGCCGGAACCGGTAAGCAGCGCCTTATCTCATCTGTTCATCAAAGTCGCTGACGAATGGCTAGGTAAAACCGAATCGGTCAAAGCACTTGGTGTCCAACTCGGTCGCTTTGTGCTTGTCTTCTGTTGCGACGAAACATTCGATTTCCAGGCCATGGGCCGTATCTTTGTCGGTCTGTGTCAAGTCGGCGCCTGGGGCTGTTTCGACGAATTCAATCGGCTGGAGGAACGGATTCTCAGTGCTGTCTCGCAGCAGGTCCAGAGCATCCAGCAGGGTCTTGCGGCACTCGCAAAGAACCCAAACACTGAGATCGAGCTGGTCGGCAAGAGCTTGAAGATCAACAAGAACATCGGGATCTTCATCACTACCAACCCGAACTACGCTGGCCGATCGCAGCTTCCGCCGAATTTGACCAAGTTGTTCAGACCGTGAGTGGCGCATGAGCCGCTTTGTTCAAATGCTCAGTTCGCGAATAGAATGGCCATGACCCGTCCTGATCGAGAACTGATTGCGCAAGTGATGCTCTTCTCGCAAGGCTTCCGGACGGCCGAATCGCTTGCGTCCAAGATCGTGCCCTTCTTCAACCTCTGTGACGAACAGCTCTCACCGCAGCCGCATTACGACTTTGGTCTGCGTGCTCTGAAAGCCGTGTTAGCCAGTGCGGGTATCTTGAAGCGAGAGCGATTGCAGAGTGTCAGAGCCGATGCCGAAGACGAGGACAACCTCCAAGTGGGGCTTTCGGACTCGGTGTCTGAGCAGATCATTCTGATTCAGAGTGTGACGGAGACTATCGTGCCCAAGCTCGTAGCTGACGATGTCCCTCTCTTGACCAAGTACGCTGTTGTCAGATGCACGGGCTTAGCGCTGACGCATTTGTCCACAGCCTCCTCGCTGATGTCTTCCCTGGAGTGGACTATCTACCTGTGGACCTCGACAAGCTACGGGAGCAGATCCTCAAAGTCTGCGCAGAACGGCGCCTGATCGACGGGGAGCGCTGGATCGCCAAGATTCTGCAGCTGTATCAGATCCAGAAGATCCAGCACGGTCTGATGATGGTCGGGCCGTCTGGGACCGGCAAGACGAATGCATGGCAAGTTCTGCTCGCGGCTCTGGAGCGACTGGACGGAATCGAGGGTGTGCCTTATGTGATTGACCCCAAGGCCATGGACAAGGAGGCATTGTATGGCACGCTGGATCCGACCACCCGCGAGTGGAACGATGGCCTCTTCACTCACATCCTGCGGAAGATCGTGGATGATGTTCGTGGAGAGAGTGGGAAGAGGCACTGGATTATCTTTGACGGAGATGTGGATCCAGAGTGGGTGGAGAACCTGAATAGGTGCGTGGACTATCGTAGGGTCAATGGCCAGGAGACTGAAGAAAAGCTGCCAGTGTTCTGGATGATAACAAGCTGCTCACGCTGCCCAACGGCGAGCGTTTGAATCTTCCTCCCAACGTACGGATCATGTTCGAGGTGGAGCATCTCAAGTATGCGACACTGGCGACTGTCAGCCGATGCGGTATGATCTGGTTCAGTGACGATGTCGTCGAGCCATCCATGGTCTATCGGCACTACCTCCAGACGCTGGCAGCCGTTCCACTCGACGCGGACGACGATGATGCCGGGGATATTCTTATCCGCCGAGCTGATGCTGACACGACCGCGTCTGCCAATCTAGAAACGCAGAAACAGATTGCCTCGATGCTCGAGCGCTACTTCAGCGATGGTGAACTCGTCGACAGCGCCTTGCACTTTGCCGAATCGATTGAACACATTATGGACTTTACGGTCACCCGTGCGCTGAACACGCTGTTTTCGCTGCTGAACAAGACGGTGCGCAACGTGGTGGAGTACAACATCCAGCATCCCGACTTCCCGCTGTCTCCTGAGCGCGTCGAGCAGTATGCCACGAAGCGGCTGCTGGTGAGCATCATCTGGGCGTTCTCTGGGGATGCGAAACTGGACCTGCGGGCGGAGATGGGTGAATTCCTGCGCAAACAGACGAGCATTGACCTGCCGCCGCTCCACCAAGGCAGCTCGCTCATTGACTACGACGTTCAAGTCTCCAACGGCGAGTGGACCGCCTGGCAGTCGAAGGTCCCTGTCATCGAAATCGAGGCACACGCAGTCACTGCGTCGGATGTCGTCGTTCCCACGATGGACACCGTGCGACACGAGGAGGTGCTCTACTCGTGGCTGTCGGAACACAAGCCACTCATGCTGTGCGGGCCGCCTGGATCGGGCAAGACGATGACACTGTTCAGTGCGCTCCGGAAGATCCCGGACATGGAGGTCGCAGGCCTCA